GGTTTTAACGGTGAAACGAGAAAGAACAGAATTTGGTGAAAATTTAATAAAGAGAAACGTCCACGTTCGCGTTGCTCTCGCGTTCGTGAGCATACGTTGAAAAAAAAAAGAGAGGAGAAAACCATTGCGGAAAACGTTCGCGCTATTTGTTAAAGGAAATCTTTTCACCTACCGGATGGAAACATTTTAACCAAACGAACAGATCTACCGATGCAGTGAATGGAAGATACAAATTTTGGATTAATTTGTATTATTAAAAGAAAAAATTGACTCAAGTGCAGGTTTCGAAATCGGACGTTAGATATGCAAGAACCTAATAGATCTTACGGTATCTCAATAGAGTCCTGCGAATCCTCTGGGATCTATATCAAACAGGATGAACCCAATGGCGTCTCGGTTAGGTCTAGTATCTGATAGCGATACTCTGAGGTTATCTACACCAGTTAACGGAGGGTCTATGTCAGATTAATGGATCCGAAACAGCTTATATCGATTCTCGACATTTTGAGAATTGCTTGCATCGAATTGGATGCGTCCAATTTCATCCCCATTCGATTTGAATGAATCTGAAGCGAAGCGCGCGAAATAAGTAGTATAGATCTATATATCGTCAGACGCGTAGTCTATAGCCAATAACCAGGCTCTAGACTAGGCTCTAACTTTCAAAGGGTTATGAAACTACTAAATTACATAGCGATTGAGATACTTGATATAACACATAGCGTGGTTGATTAAAAATCAATGCAGTATACGTAAAGTTTTTCGACGATGATTTCAGAGGCTGACGGAACGACGTGCTTCAGCCATAAATCGGTGCCCGATATAGAAACAAATATAAGGCCAATACTTTCGGATATTGCCGTGCCGAAGTGATTGATGGTCCAAGATATTCAATATCTGCTAAAGTTCGCGGCGGTGAGCCCTGCCTGCCCGGCGCCACCACCTCTCCCTTCTAACCCTCCTCCCTTTTTTTCCCTTCTCCCCTTTCCCGGCTCTTCTTCTTCTACTTCTTCCTACTCTTTTTGCAGCCACGACCACCTTAAACCCTGGCTATCCTCCTTATCCTACCCGCTTCCACGAAAATGCATGACTCGAAATCCTGAAACGAGGGGGGAAAAACTTATTTCCCGAAATTCACTGGCGTTCCTGCTAAAGCGACTGTTAAGGGTGTGCGAAAACGACGCTCCAAAGTTAGATTGCTGGTTAATCAAAAGTATCCGACCAAGACGATCTTAATTAGATAGAATTTTACTTTATTCTACTTATTTTAGTAACTGTTCGACAACGCGCTATTTTTTTTTTTTCACAAGTTCGAAGCTTTTCTTTGACCGAAAGAGGAGAAGACGGTAAAAAGCGTACGGTCTAAGTTAAGAAGGGTAAATCGAGAGAAAAAAAAAAGAAAAGGACGAAGAGAAAAAGGTGGAGAATCGTTGACCGATTCGACGGACTTGGAGAGGAGATTCCGTAGGTGGAATTGTTTTTTCGGCCAACTGCTGTGTCCTCCGTGGACCCATTAAAGCGACTTGTGCTCCGCGGAGAGGGTAGAAGCGAGATGTGAAATAAGAAAGAGGAGCAAAGAGGGGCAAAAAGTAAAGGTTCGGATACTCGGGATGACGTAACGGGCAAAAGGGATCCCTTGAATCCCCTTACGATGATTGCGGTAGGCTTTTCAGAGCAGCCCTTTTCCTCGAGTATCATCGTTTCCCGTTGCTTCTCGCCTCTTATCGCGTTTCCACGGTGCCCGTTTCATCCGACGATCATGTCACACTACCGGCTGTTCAGAGGCAAGGGAACCACAGATAGGCCAGGAGCTCGGTGAAATTTCATGTCTACCCTATCTCTGGATTCTGCATCCCGAAACGCGCTCGTAATCGAAATAACAATCGTACGATTCAAAGTAGAGAGTCGTCCATTTCTATTTTCTTGTCTATCGTTTCGATTCCTTTTTCGACCATAACTCTATCTAACTCGACGAAAGCGATACCGTTCAAATTGCGATTCGTATCCGTTATAAGGAATATAATAGAGTGGACGAAAGGGGGGTGAGAGAGGAAGGAAAGGAGAAAATGAGATTATCAGATTGGTAGCGGGGCTTGTTTCGAATTCATGGGGCGTCGAGTAGCCACGCGCGCAGATAACACGCCGCGTTTTCTATCGCTAATGGGAAACGGTGTCTGGCTGCCAGTCACTGTCTCGACGATCGAACGAACCCCCGGTAATACGAATTTCCTTTGCCGTGGCACGATCGAATCTGCTTATTCTCACGAACGGAATAACGTAACGTCGCCGGAGCGTGGCCTCTTCAACGTTTCCACAAACGGAATATCGCAAACCCGGCGGAATCCGTACATTCTCCCTGCGTATACATTCCGCTTCGCGTGCAAACCGCATTCTGTATACACGTGTTCCTCGTCAATCTATTCGTCTATTCGTCTATTCGTCTATGCGTGTCCGAAACTTGCCAACGAGTTTCCGCACCAGAGATCCTCTTCCTCATCGTCTCCTCTCGAAATAGAAAATTACCGAATTCCCATCTAAGACGTGCCGTAGTTAATTAATTTCCGAAAACTCGATCAACTTAATCGTAGACACTGGTTACCAAAGAGCGTTTTGCTTCTGGAACTCCTTAAAACCCGCCACCCTCTATCTGACGATTAGCGAACGAAGTCGTTAACTCGAGTATGTACCCGAATCCTCTCGAATCGGGCGAAGAGCGGCACGGAAAATTGGAGGGAAATGAAAATTGAACGGATACGTACGATCGAAGGACGAAGGGGACATTTTACCGAGAGAAAAATCTTCCCTCGAAACGCCAAGTATTTATTCTTCAAATTTAACCTCTCCGTTTAATGGCTGGGTCATCGCCGACCCACGTGGCACCGAACGTGTTAAACAGGCCTACTTTAACGTGTTGCTCGCCTTGGTACACGCAGTTAGCTCGATCAACGTTAAACTACGAGCTAACTATAAAGCCGAAGGTAATCGTGTTGGGTGCATCGAGACGATCGCTGCTACAAGACTAGCCTCGTTGTGTAATTTCCATCGTTAACCAGCGGATCGTTTTTCGTTATTAGAAAACTAGGATGGAAGTTAGGAGGATGGTGGGGTAACAGGTTGTTTTAATGCAACCGCAACACGAAAACGAGAGAGGCTGTGTGTGTATAACGGATCGCGGGTCTACCTATTCGGGTTGCCTTATGGTCGGAGGGTTCGTTGTTGGTTATCGTTCCCGAAAAGCAGCCTGCTGTTCGATGTAGTACACAACGAACAGCTGTTAACTGAATATATTGCGATCAATTGCGGATCCTTCGGGATAAACGAGCCAACCGAAGAGCTGGCTTTTTAAACGATCAGCGACTTGACTTTTTAGCAATTTGAATAAAGGAAATTATAAAGAAAGAAGCGAAACTGCATTTCGCAGCAAAACCTTCAATTGCCACTTTTCACCCGAAGCCGCCCTTTCGAAAAGGCAAGCCGAGCCTGCTCGAATGTCGTAACTCTTTTAGGATCAAATAACCTTCGACAAACTGAGGACGGAATTAAAAGCACAAAGCGGCGAGGGTGCGCCGAGAGAGGATACCGGAAATGGGAAGAAAATTAAGACGTAAAGTCGGCCCGGGTTCGTGTTGAAGGAGAATAACGTTTGAGGTGTACCGCGGTTCGAGCTTTCCTTCCATCCAAGATATACACGCTAAACCAGCTACCTACCGACCTTCTCATCCACAGAGAAACAGTCTAGTAACCTAGCAACACCCTCGACACCAGTTCAACCTGTTCGCCCAACACCTTGGCTTTCAATTCACCTTATCTTTGCTATCTACCTTGCGCTACTATACCATTCGACCGAGTCCCGCGAAACATTTTGCGCTCCGATTCAAATTAAATCTGTTAAAACCAAAAGAAATTACATTAGAAAGGCTGATGAACGAACGTTGTATAAAGAAGGAAAGCTTTTAACGTTTCCTTGATTTTCAAGTTTCAAACTTCTTTCAGCCGCGTATCCTTTGATAGGAATTCACAAGAAGTTGCGATTATTCGAAAGCTCCTCGAATTCACAGACTGAAAGGTTTCTTGCCACGCGTTTACAAGAAACTTGCAGGGGAAAATGTACACGATACACAACTACGTCGTCAACCGAGAACTTCAACTTTCTAAACATTCCCGCATTCAATAGCGACCTACTTTCCCTTGAACTTGTCTAAAATATCTGAAGTTCGAACTTGACTTCGAGTTTGAATAATTAAAATAATTATGTGTTAAAATGCAAGATCTAAAGAGCGCGTAATAAATCACGAGCCGAGGAAAAATCATCGGCTGAAAAATTTGGACACCGTGATATAAAATGGAAAGAACATGGTAAATTTCAGCTGGAGAAAAAAGAGAGAAAATGTAGGAAAAAGGTGTCTAACGAGCGTCTAATGGTGTGGACAGTTTGTAGCGTAAGTCAGGGTGGTTCTCGCGGTTTATTTTAATGAGGCAGCTGGGTAGCTTTACACGGTTCTCTGGCACTGAGCCTGGTAATAGAACTACTTTTCGTTTCGCGTCGCTTCCCTTATCTTCATCTTTACCACTCCCGCCTACCGCTTCGACTAAACCCCCCCACTCCACCCCACCCCACCCCACCCCATGCCGTGTGCACGAAATAAGTTGAAGCTACTTCTAACGATATCCTTATTTCGAACTTAACAATAAGAAAGTTTTGCGCCAAACTTTCCAGGAATTTTAAAGGTATTCTTAAGCAAACAACTGCGAAAACCGAGCGAAATCCGATGGAAAGTTCGCGCGTGCAGTATTCTAAACGCAAGTAGTTGCCAAGTGAAACCTTACGCTATTATTTGAGATACTGTATCTCTTTGTATTCCGAGAAATCGTACAATTTTCGTGTCTTATCATTTTGAATAATAATATACAACTTAACCTCATTTCGTACAAATGTATTTGAAATCGTAAAGAAACGCAAGTAGAAAATTTTATAAATCATGCCATTATTTGTAACATACCTGACAATGAGACGAACAAACATGGCGGACCTGTTGCTTGTTGTAAGACGATCAAAGCCGACGTTAAGAGTCCCCAAGGATTGCAGCGTCTCTCGTAATCACAGTCCGCCAAATTCCGCCAAATTCCGCCATAACCTTTACCGTCTTGATAACACTTTCACAATATCAATCGTATGCCTGACCGAAAGCCAATTTTCTACGAAAAAGTTTATAAAACGCGAACGAAAATGCAAAATTGAAACGCCACGCCGCGCCACGAGGACAAGATGGCTGTTGTCGGTTACGAATTGGCGCAATTTTACTTTTTACCTCTACTTCTCTCGATACGTTTGTAAATATACTTGATTATGACTAATACGCGTAGCAAAGTTACTGTGGAGCAAGGTTATTCACTTTTTTGTACAGTTTTGAAAAAATTTAACACAAAAATTTAATAAAATATACGGAACGAAAAATCCGCGCGTCCGTCACTTCTAAAGCACGAGGCGAGAGGCTGGGGGCGCCACCGACTCGCGATTAGTACAGAGCAATATATCGATAATCGATATAAGCTACTGTGCATCGATTCGATTTAAACGCTGGAATATTTGAAATGCTCAACGTAGCGTAAATTTGTAGCAAGTTATTTAACGCTTCCGTTGCGTATGAATCATTAATTAATCTGGATACGTTCGTGCGCAAATGAATATTAAGTAAATTATCCTTTTTACACGACTGCCGGTAAAATCTCAGTATTAATATTTATAAGTATACCGTGTTCATTGAAAGCAACGATCACCACCGTAACCAGTCTAATATTTCCAACAAAGAAACCTCGAAACTAGTTATGTTATCGTAATAGAAAAAGAAATAGAAAAGGAAACAGAAAATAATTTATCGTGACAGGCTAATAACCTGTTTTCGCGGGAACAGACTGAAAGGTTATCTCGTAGAAAATTTCAAACAACCAACAAGCTCCGTGACAATCAAAAAGGTGCACGATTCCAAACGAATCCAACGTGGCACGTTAATTAAACTTAACGTTAACTCGCTACCCTAGCTGCCAAAAGTATTACGAGAACTCTGACCGCGCAATCTAAATGCACGTTGCCATACGGATAGGTCGATGTACGCGGACAGTTGCAGTATCGGTGTTTCTACTCACACGTGCACACGATCGCGCATACGTTCGTGTACACACACGTGCATCAGAGTACGCTTCACGCATTATAGGTAGTGAGCACTTGAGTTATAAGATTGCCATGGACACTTGCCAGGGTAATATCAAACTTCGAAGCTCCGACCCCCTAGAACCACCCCCACGCGTCCGTCGATCGCGTTCTGGGTGCACGTGTTGTGTGCACATGCACGTGCAAGACACACTGCTCGATCGTGATGGTAAGCTTCGTTATCACGCACGCCCACGTGTGAGCTTGATGCGTTGTGGCTTAACTCCTTTATGCTACCCAACCTCTCCCGCAACCTTTCCCTCTCTCTCTCTCTCTCTCTCCTCATCCAGAGGGACGGTTTCCCTGTCAACACACTATCCTAATTATACGCTATCGATGACACGAATTAACGATCGGCCCGGGAACGACTTGTTATCGCAGCTGCTAATTGTGCCAGTGATTATGAAAGTAGTATAGGAGGTCATCAGTTTTCCCTCTCGAGGTATTTAGGAATCCATAAATTCTTCTTTCTTGCAGACGTTAATATTCCAAGTATTGCAATATTAATGAGCGAGAGATCATTTCGAACGAAGCAAGTTTAACGAGAGAAAATTTGATTACGGAAATTACTCGAGGCTATTCCGAGTCAGACCTTTAGCCGAAGAGTCTGATTTCGTGTAATTCTCAAGTAGTCACCTCACGAAGAACGTCTGCTACTCCCTCTGTGAAGCGTAAATGAGATTGGACGGAAGAAAAGGGCCGGCGAAGGAAACGCGTGATTACGATAATTCAATCGAGGATCTTCGTCGTGCTGTCGCATCGGGAACGGGTACAGAAAGACCCCCCGTATCGAACGGAGGGACCTTAAAGGATAGTTTGCTTATTCCGGTCACAATGTGAGTCACCGTCGACTCCGTTCATCCCTCTTTCAACGTTGCAACCATCGACGTACTGACGCTAATGCATATTCAATGTTACACCCATGCCTGGAATATCCAGAAGCTGGTACTCCCTGCAGACCTCTTCCTGCTACCTCCTTGTTTACGAGATGACTTTTCCAATTCTCTGATACCTCTCAAATATCCCTCGCTTTAATTTCCCCATAACGGAACGAGATATACGTTTCCTTCTGCTCGGAATAAACGGAGATATTTCCGGATACTCGGCTAAGGTAAAGTCGAAATATTTTACAGGTAACCGGCTATCTCGTAAATTAACAAAGGCTCTAGATTTCAAAAGCAACGTAAAAAATGGCGGTCGTGTTTCTTTCTCTTGATAAAAATGAATTATTGTATTTTACTCTTATTTGCGCAGCTGTGCGGCTCTCACGAACGCACAAAGGATTCCATCGCAATTTTTGAATCGTATTACGGCCCGTACGCCGCGCCGTGGATGATCGATTTCCCCGAGCTGGATAAAAACCTTTCCTCGAGACCGTATTCTTTCACACGTATGCACGTGAATATCCCAACGATCGAGCTGCTTATACACGAAACTCCTTAATATTTCTCGCCACTTTCGCGGCCCGCCATATGAATTTTCCTGCAGGCTCGATTCAAAGGAATAATAAGTTTCTGTTCTGGGTTAGCCTCTGTGAAACTTCATGCCGCTCTTTCGCCGTCGTCGTTTTTCGTAATTCTCGACCATTTTACATTTATACGATTCTGTTTTATTTTCCATTTTTCGCGTACAGTTTTCAACGATCCAGCCCCTTTCTGCATCCCGAATCAAACTCGTTCGTGTCTACGTAGAATTTAACCGCGCGATTCGTCGTACTTGGACGTGGCATTACCAAGCCGTTCGTGAACGACCCGAAAAGATAAATAAGAATGGCAATAAAGAATCGAAATGGCAGAGCAGGACCGTTAACATCGACGTAGTTACGCCATTAAGCCATAACTCGTGCCAAAAGTTCTCTAGCGACAATTGTAGCCGTCCAGTACGGTCATTAATATCGAATAATTGATAGCCAACTGTATCTTCCATTAGAGTGTTAATTAAAAGAGAGATCGATCTACGGAGACTATTAAAACTATACGCGTCGCTATTACCGACGGTATTTCGGTTAATAAAATCTAAATCTCTATACAGATATGTTGCGATCCTAGAGCCGAATTTAGCGGGATAAGTTGGAGATTCGTGTTTATCGAGGGTGCTTAAAGCGATGATCAATTCATTTGCTATCGCGTGGCTATAAGACATTGGAAAATTAAATGTAACTATATCTAAATGGAGAATCATCGCAGATCCCCGTAACGGTAAGGGGTGGCTTGATCCTTCACCGCTACCTCTATCACCCCCGAAGAAAACCGACCCTTACTTCCCTCGGATTGTTTCTCCGGTGGCTGGGTTATATGCTTTAGGATAACGTTCCACGATCACGCGATGACTCTCCACCTTTTAACCCCCACGGCTAAGTACGTTTTAGTTACCCCTCGGTGAAAGCTACCCTTCTCTCCTCTCTTCGTATCCTAATACCCTCCGCTCGTACATCTTCATTTCGCTCCGTCGTTTCTTAAACACTTGGATGTTATCATTTCCTCGCAATGTGTTTCTTCCACCCGAAATACGATGTATCAGAATTTTCTTCTACAATTTCGACAAACCCGTCTACTACCATTTCTAATAATATTAAATAGAATTATTAGCGAAACGTGGCGCGTTGTCGTGTTCTCTCAAGAGAGTAGAACAACGTCGACGACATCCCGCTAGACCCGATATCTTTCACCTATAAATTATAATATGTAAATGGCGAGCCAGAGAGCTGGAGAACGAGAGGGGTCGGCACACGCTCGTAGGTGGAAGGGGTTAGATAGGTAGCCTGGCAATTACAGAGGCTTACTGTACATACAAATTGCTAGATACCCTCTTCCCTCTCACGCTGTCTTTCTCTTTAGTACCATTTACCACCCCCTGCTAGCTGGAAGCGCAGCAATCCCGGACAGAAACGTCGCTGGAGACGCAGTTATATGAAAGCAGCCGGTGGAAGGGTATTACCAAAGTAAGAAGTCAGCTTGATAGCTATGGTCGTAACTTGGTTTTTCGCTCCTATTCCTCTTCTCCTAATTCTCTTCTCCATAAACCTTCGTAGAAAGACTTTGCCGCTGGTAGACGACGTCTTTCCCATAAACCTCCGTCGAAAGCCTTTTAAAACGACGTATCGGTAAATACCATGCACTTGCCTAGGCTAACGAGATTTCTTTCCCTTTTTTCCTCTCTTTTCTTTTTTTTTTTTTTATTTTTACAGACGGACACAGATTTTCAACCGCACGAAAACTACTTCTCGAACTTCGTACTTCGTAAAGCGTTTCGTCAAAGAGAGCCAGTCGAGATTCGGGTCAGCAGCGCACGGTGTTTCTTGAAACGTTGGCTGGCAACGAGAACACGATCAAGGCTGAAGAAGAGAGAACGACAAAGGGACAAGAAGAGAGGGTAGAGAGGTGGATACCGGACAAATTATCCATCTTCCTCATCCCTTCTCAGCTTTCCAAAGCATCCAGCCATCCTGTGGGAATCCTTACCGAAGGAACCTCACGCCCTAATAGCTGCCTATGGGGACGCGATGGGACTCCCGATGGACTGGACGAAATCTCGTGCATTGTGCAATCCTCTCTCTCCCCTCTGACCCACCCCTGTCCACCCCTCTTCACTTTACCTTCCCTCTCGTTCGCCATCGCTCGACAGGGGAAGAGTATATTCCTTCCAATTTGCCAGGGTTGTGCATTCGACGGCAGATCGAAAGATATTGGGGGAAGAAATTTTCTTTCTCTTCGTTCCCTTTCGTTTTTCGCTCCCCCTCCCCCCTTCTTCCTTTTCGTCAGGCTATTCTATCGGGCTGGCCAATAAGCTCGTGCGGTTTTCTTAAGTGTAAATGAGAGACGATTTTTTTTATAGAAAGCAATAATGTATCGGTCTTTTTCCTCGACTTTTTAACGAGCCAAGTGATTGTTTTAATTCGCAACAGTGTTCGTTTTAAAAGCGTTCTTATTAATGTAAAAAAAAAAAAAAAAAAAGAATATCGTTGAAAACCGGGACACGGGTGTTATAAAGTTTCACGGAACATCGTATTTTCGCTTGTTTCGCGACGAGACACGAAATATGGTTGACCACGGACAAACAGGGTCAGCTACTGGGCCCGACGTAAACGCTTTTCTTTATAGGTGAAATTAAGCTAAGTTTACGCGCGATGTGTCGGGATCCCTTTTTACGAGCAGCCGACTACCGTAAACCCGGACTGGTCAAATAATTTTCCACGATATTGCACTCGTAACCCTGTAAAAACACGGGCCACCTTGCTAATAATACACAGAACAGAACAGAATCATGAATGTATGCATAATTTCTTCTGTTACCATCGCGGGATTACGTTTTTCCTTTTAACCAGGTCTCCGGAACCACGCAATAATGACCCATTTTCCGTAACACGTGTAACCGCGAGCAGAATTAACAGCGCTTTTGTAGCGAGCTCGCAAAATCAAATTTCGCTTTTAATGCGACTAATAGAATTTTACGAGCCACTTAAATTGTTCAATTTACAAAATAACAGGAATTAACACGCTAATTGTATGCTCTCGGAGTTGAGTTACTCGAAACTAAAACCATTCGGTTTATCGAGGATATCGGGGTACATTTTAGGGAGCCGAGTTAAATAAAAAGAATCTAGCGAAGTGGTACTCGGAAGCGGAGCAAGGTATGAAAAGAAAATCAGAGAATGAGAAGGGAACGATAACAACGGTGATCGCACCGAAACTCGAGATGGAGCAAGGGGGCAGAAAGCGAGAACGATTGTTGAAGCGGAGGCAACAAGCAGGGATCATTTGAGGAAGATGTAACACGGGACCGTCTATTCGCTACGGCTCATAAAACTGCGCGTTTTATGCTGATGGGCCGCGTCTCGGAGACATTGGCAGGAGGGAAAAAGGGAAGAGTGGAAAGAAAGGAGGATCGAGCCAGAAAAGAAATGTACAAGCTACGGTTGATAAGGGAAAAAGAAAAAGAAAAGAAAAAAAGAAAAAGTACGCGATGTAGGCCGATGAGGCTGGTTCCTCTTTGGATGATTTTGGCAACGGAGCCAAATGCAAACGGCAGGTGTTATCCACGCGAGACTTTGTCTATTTTCGAGAAACGAATCTCGGTTCGATCTCACCGCGGCGATCCTTCGATCCTGTTGGAACCGATCGAACCGGAAATACGAGTCTACGTGCCATTGGATAGCGTCGTTCCGCTTGCAACGAGATTGCAATTTTAAAGAGGAGCACTCTTCAAAAAAATCTCTAACTACGCTTGGCCATTCTTTATTTCAAACGAGTGCAACAAATTAAAATTGGCCCCACTTGCCGCCACTTTCGACGAAATATTAAATCCTGTTGAAAAGGACAGTTAGAAGGGCTTTAAAAGAGAAGTCGTTACTTACGTTAGGACACTACGAACGCGTTACGTTTATTTCGCGAGCCGGCGAAAAGCAACAGGATTGTCGCGGCTTTATTCGCCGAGTTAATTGCAATGTACCTGCACGCGCGACCATCGAATTACAAAAAGAAACAGAACACCGTCCAGGCCTGGGAAGAAATTAAGTGGATTAGTAGCCTAATGGCGAGAACGCGACGGCAAACTGAAATAAATATGGTGCTCACGAGGCAAGAGGGTGAATGTAATTATCCGACTAACCACTTAGTAATATACGTAGTATCGTCCTGATAGTTTCATAAAATGGAATTCATTTTATTTGAACTTTCTTGATATTCCGAAACTTTGACAGGAATATTTTCCTTTTTGGCCGATTCCCTTTCCGAATACAATTGAACGGTATCGCTGGCGGGGATATAAATTCGCGATAGAAAAGGGAAATGAGCAGCGGAATGGGTGGAGACACGAAGGAACGAGGACGAGCCGTTAAAAGTTGAAGACGCGTTTGCGCGGAACTGTTTCATTGTAATAGCCAAAGTTCTTGGTCGCTTTGGTCGGTCTGCCCTTTATTATTTTATATTTCGTGGCTGCACGGTGGGTAGTAGGTACCACGGAGATAACAGAAATTATACTTACGTTTCAAAGTGGAACAACCGTTAGCGACGAGGCAAAACTTTAATTCGCGACGATACCCGCCGTAGCTCGATGATCTCATCTTCTTCTTCTTCTTCTTCTTCTTCTTCTTCTTCTTCTCGGTTAGAGCCCAATCCCAAAGGGATTCATCCACCTTCGTAATTCCTTCGACCGGCTAGAAAGATACGAAGCCACTTATAGCCGGCTGGCATCGAGAAATTTGGAAAATTTCACCGAAAAGTCATCCCCGGTAGATTCAGGAAATTAAACCGCTAATGAGAACGGTCACAAATGGATCGACGTTAAGCCTTCCCCTCACTCTGTAATTACTTCTTCGTCCCGTTACCGTCTTTTTCCTACCATTTTTCTTTTTTTTTTCCTTTTTTTTTTTTTTCAAGTTGAAACTCGTTAAGGTAATACCGCCTGCGGCGCCAAATTGTTATCGCGAACTAGTTCCATCTTGACCTCTTATTTATACGTCTTGATAGTTCAAAGTTCGATTGCTTCGTGATTGCAAAATGGCACGTGTTATCGAACCGAGTAATAATGCGAAACTAACGCGTCGTATAAAACGCTTTGAAATTCAAAGTCGACTCCCCAAAGTCTACTGTTAATTACCAATTAATATTCCTAATCGAGATTTTGCAATTATAATCGCGAAAACCCCGAGGCATTGAAGTACCGCGGCAAAGGAGTTAAATATTGAGCAAAAAATGAATGTAAATTCTCGAATTGAATTTATCAGAGGGAAAGGCAGAGTTGTTTCATCCCTTTCGCAATTGAAGATCGACGGAATCGTTGGAAGCGTTCCTCTGACACGATCGATTAACCACAGAAGCGGATTCTCCGACATCCTGGGAACACGCGCGAGTGCGTCGAACGCACGTGCAAAAGGAGCACGGCCGCGAGATACACGCATGCACGATCCTACATAATATAGTGGATCTGCGTCCTCTGTAATGTAATCATGGCTGACACAATTAATCACTGGACCATCCAACCCCGGCAAACCATTAGCGATCGGGACACTCGGGATTCGCCGAGGATGCATGCCTGTGCACTGTGCACGCCTGAAAGTGCATTGTACTCGTGCACACGAGCACGTTACACGCCCTCGAACGAGAAAGAATCATTTCCGCTTCTCTTTTCTCCAAAAGGAACCCCCCCTCTCTCCAGTTTTAATTAACAGCTTCGAAATGGGGTGAAAATTGAAATAACGAGTTGCATCCGCAGTTTATCTTTCTTTATTCTTCGATCATTTGACTGAATTAAATTCGTAACATCGTTTACCCGCATAGCAATCAACGCGTTAATTGGTCAATCGTTATCGAGCCTCATCGATGTCCGATTGATTTCGATTCGGCGATATCGAGTCCAGAAACGCGCACGATGTTGAAAAGGTGGCCGATCGATGGGCGAAAAGGGAATCACAGACATCGCGGCCTGAACGGAGTTGATTAACTTCAGTCGAGCAAGTTGAAAAAACCTTCGATACAATCTTTATCGTGTACGGGGTAAAGAACTAGTACCGCCGGTAATTAATTATACAGAAGAGGAAGTTCGCGGAAGTTTTCTCATTTTTTCCATGGAAGGAAGGATATCTCTCTCCCTCTCGCTCGATGAACCTGAAGCACGATCATTACTTTTAATAGAACGGCCAGCGAGCGAACAACAACTAAATCTCGATGAGAACGGATCGCGATACCCTGGCCTGCATTGAAACTAATTTTCCCGCCCAACTACCCAGAAGTTAATTTCGTTTCTATCGAATAACGAAGAAGCAAAGTTACCGGACAAGTATCCACGCCCTAAATTTTACATCCACTTTAGCAACACAACCAATTATTATGCTTGAATTCGAAACACAGAAGTATCTTTCATTTTCCACAGACTTTAATTACGAAATATAACACGTACATAGAAAGTTGTGTACGAAGCGTGAAAATCATAAGGGAAAGAGGAAAAGGGAGTGACCGCTCCGGCTTTGGGAAACAAGGGACAGAATATGGCCCATTGGCCGTGTGGCAAGACGGGAAAGCGAAGAAGAGGGAGAGCAATAATACGAGGATCCTTGGAAAATGGCCAAAGTGTCAGTCGTAATATTATGGTCGTTACGTGGAACGTCCCCGACGTACATCGTGCGAATCAACATTTTATTCCCTGACACTGTGCGGGTGTACACACACCTCGTGCCCAGATACAGAACCACCTCTAGCTCTCACTCTTCCCGATGAAATCGTCAACGATCCAACGATTCCTCTTCAACCATCCTCGTCCACGCCTTCGACTATCCCCCGTGCAAAGTGGATATGAAAAGTATCGTGTCACCGGAGCATAATTTGTAACTGCCTTCACCCTGGAAATTTCGATAATTAAGCATCCAAGTTGAACTTCATTTTTATACCTTCGCATATGGACACACCGACACGTTAAAATAACATTGGTAAATATTTCAAATAAATCCAGGAATACGAGGGATTCGACGAAAGTGGAAAGTTAGGGTAATCGATGAAAATCTTCCTGGTAAATTGCGAAAGAAATAGGACGTAGACTAGAATAGAGAACAGATGAAAGGACAAGGAGTCGCGACGGTCGAAGCATGCTAGAGAAGCTTCAGGAAACGTTGGTATTATCATAATAATAGCTGAAACCATCATCTTTTCCGTGTCTGCTCTCTAGTTCCCCCGACCTTACCCGCTTTCTCGAGGCTCCATTCTACCCGAGAGTGCTTCAGAAAGCCAAGCCTAATAGCGCTCGCGTTTTGTACATTTACAAATTTAAAATGATAATTTTCTCGTGGGTGTGGCGAGCCTTCAGCCCATTTGCGCCCTTTTATCGCCGCACCCGTGCCTCCTTCTCATATTTTTCATTCTTCAAGTCGTGACTGGTTTCGTCAGCTATGTATACCTTACGTCAATAATGCGACTATAATTATAGCTCTCGAGAATAAACAAATTCGAGTGATTGTTAATTTCTATCCAGTTGCATTAGCAAAAAAAACTACGTAAGAAGTAATTGATTAGGTATTGCTTCACTCACCAATAATTCCCAGTCAGTATCGTTCACGAGAACCAAAATTCCTGGTCGCCTGTACACATAAAATATCACATTGCAGGAAGATATGGCTACATACGAGCTACAGAATAGACTATTTTTGTGTCACACGATTTGTGAGACTCTAGAGCCCCCTTATCATTTCACTGTTACGTATTACCGTATCGATTGGCACTGGTATCACGGTACAACGTTATTGCTAGTAGAAATTAAGATCAAAAACATAGATAGACGTCTGTTATTAAACAATAAAACACAGAAAGTTTCGAATTTTTTTAATTTTGTTATGCGCGTCATACATTTTAATATAGCGATAGTTTCTTTCTGGGTATTACATGGAGGTGCCAGCAAATAAAATAAACGAAACTGAAATATATCTTTAGCACGATCTCTACTTCACTTGCTACTAAGGATTTATTGTATTTGCGCGTTAAATTAGTGCAAATTATTATTGTTTTATAATTGAACTGAACTACCCCGAAGTTCTCTAATTTTGTATCGGTGCGCGTTTTGAAAACGGTACCACCAGCGCCATCTAGCAGTGAGTGGAGGAAATTATAGAGCATTACCGACGGATCTGAAAATGGTGTGTACTTCCAACATTAGATGGCACTGGTAGTACTTTGAGTTAATTCTCCTGCCATCTCGAGTAGCGTCAATGTATTCCCGAGTCGCCATCTTAACTTTATAAGTACTTATATCGGTCGAATTGGAAAATGCGAATAAATGTAACATATCGTGGTGCGACACGAGTGTACTGTAAACTTCGCGGGTATCAAATAAAAAACCTTGCCGTGCTATTTACGAAGATTTTAGCTCGTATGCTTACAATATTAAGGTAAAATTATGGAATGAATTGACGACTTACACGGTGTTTCCTTGTAAAAACAGTTCCGGCCGTTCTTTCAAAAGGTTATCTTTTATCCAGAAGAGTAACTTTTGTATGGTCCCTGTAGGATTTCACGTGGTCAATTAGAATTTTGATTTAAAAACAATTTGGGTTACTTACATTCATCTCCAGGTAAGTTCACCTTGTGTTTTTTCTTTTTATCGAAAAGCAATTCCGCCCCACCCCTGAAATTATTTATCGAATTAAATGAATTTTATAGGAAAAGTTAGGTTATGTGTAGTTTTAACGTTACCCAAATTCAATGGTCACAGAAATTTCACTATTTTCATTGGACATCTTAAATGATTTCGTTAAAATGTATTACTTGTAATATCATTAGTTATTGTCATTTAACCCCTCGCATAGAAACAACGTGAGTGACAATTCGGCTCAATTCCGTGTTCCTCTTTTTCAATCGGACAGTAGTGTATACACTGCGCGCGGCAAAATACTAAACTTAAATATTCAAAATTGGTTAAGCGATGGGCACATTTTCTTTGAATCCCAATATTTTTTCAGAATTTCTAATTTATTGTGTGCAGATATATGTTCGAAACATAATGATTAACGATCTTAAGTACCTGTAGATCAACAGTTGTAAAATATTTATTATCTTTTTAATCGTTATAACTTTTATCACAGACTTATTGACATTAACGTTGCAACAAGTATGTCTACGATAAAACAAGTAAACGAAGGTAAAATGTAGAACAAGTGCCCCTTATATACAACACAAAGTACATCCCTGTATATTCGCGGGTCATTAGTCTCGTAATAATTATGCATTTAATTGCAACGCAAAGGTTCCTTTGTACATGATCAATAGCAATATATAAAGAATCAAGATTTGTTAAGTAACAGTGGTAAATAAGCATATGTATTTCGAAGCGTATATAATAAAATTATAGGATAAAAGCGTAAATATGTGAATAGACTGAAGTGTAGGTGCCATCAGCGGCACAGCTGTAATGGCGGCCGTCGGAAAAGTACGGTCGCACGCGCTAAATATCTAAATAGCCGAATAACACGTTCAATTCATATTTAAATAATTTTAATCCCTTGGTGACCATAAGATTTCGTATAATTGTAATATTTTACATGTTCAGTATCAACTTTCATAATGTCAGAGGAAAATAAACATACTTCGGAGGAGACCGAGTCGGAAATGAATACAGAAAATCAGATCAGAGAACAGTCGAAAAGTGATACAAGTATATTAAACAATGAAAGCGAACAACCTATGTTAGAAGATGAAGAAATGCCGACGTTTGTTAGTGTATCAAGTCCTTCGAGACGAGACGATTCCGATCCGAGTAACGTAAAACAACAATGTAGAATACCTGTAGAAGAAGATCACAGTCGAAGCCCCTGTCCCAGTGATGATCAAGGAGGAGGTAGTATTTATGTATTGTCTTCTGGAGAAGAAAGTAACCATCCTTATAATGATGAAGAGGAAGATGAATACGGAGATAGCGATGGTGAGTAAACAACATGTAAATTTTATTAAAAATGAAGCAGTATTTGATTTTTTGACTGTTATCCTGAACTATAGAAATGGATGAAATGGACCTTGAAAATGAACATGAACATGAACATGGAATGTTAGAAGATGAAGAAGAGGAAGATGAGGAAGATGACGATGAAAGAAACCCTCTGAGAATGCCCAATGAGGATGATGAGGATATTGATACAGAATATGACCAAGAATATTTTGATAGAGTATCCGATGACTTTATTTTAAACAATAGATTAAAGCAACATCATAAAGAAAGAAGTTTATCATTGCAAGATCTAAGTATTTCTAAAAATAATGTTCATTCACCGTATAATAAAAAAAGGCATAGTCTAAATATTGTTAGGCAAAATTATTTTGGTTTCCAACAAAATCCAGTAATGTATTCTATCATACATAAAAAACAGATGGTGCCAGTTAAATATCAACATGTGGAAAGTAAGGTGAAGCAATATATAAGAGATATAAAGGAACAGAATAAAAGATCAATGGAAAAGCGTATTAAGGAGCAAGAATTTGTGGAAAATAAAACTTATGAGGAGGATGAAAGTAAGAAATATTTTTATTTCAGTAGAATTTGGAAGATATGTCTATTGTCTGTTGTAAATAGCTATAGATCATAATACTTTCAAAAACAAAATAAAAATATAATTTTACAAAGACAATAAAACATGCTTCCATGTACTTATTATAATTTTTTTTTTTTATTATTATTTTTAGACAATGACACTGAGCAAGTGAATACACCGGTCATTAATAAAGTTATAAAAGATTATGCACAAAAGACTATTAAAGATTTGCAACGTGAAGAAATCGAGGGTACTAATTTAGTTTATAATATAGCACAAATAGTCAAAAATAGTAAAAATAATAAAACTGATAACAAAGTAATTGAAAATCAATTTAAACATATGCGAAAGGATTCCGAGTACGTTAATATCCAAAATGAAAAACGGGCACAAAGCAGCGACGATAAATTAGAGAAACGAAATGGTTCAGTGGATATTAATGTGCATCAAATTGAATATCAAAATACCTTGGATAGAAACATAAAGTTTAATAACATGAATCAATCTCCTTTAGTTAATGGTCATGAACAAACCCCTGCATTTATCAACTTGCGTACAGTAACTTATGAGGAATACATGCACGGTATAACAAATAGTGAGCAGAAAGACGAATTAGATGAACAGAAAGAAAAGGCACACGAGACTGAAGTGTATAACGAGGCAGAAATGATTAATGAACAAGAAATCGATAATAGTAACACAAGTTGTTCTTTGAAAATTGAAAGCGTGAAAAGTATTCGCATGAGCCAAGACGAGTCGGGTAATTTAAATTTTGCAAAAGTGAATTTAACAGATGACATAGTCACGGAAAGTACAGAAATAATTCAGTTAAAAACCCAATTGAGTCAAAAAGATGCTCAGTTTCATCATTTGAAAGATGCCTATCAGAAAACATTGGCAGAGAATATAAAGATGAAACAGGAATTGGATGCGCTGAAACAATCTTTAGCAAAATATGAGAATGAAAATAAAGCACGTGAAACAAAAGTTGCATCTGTACAAACTGAAACCGTTGAAAAATCTGTATGCAATCAGGAAACCACGACTACGGGAGAGATAAACAAAAAAGTATCCACTAGCAGTGTTGCATCAACGGCGAGTTCTTCCGATCAATGGGCAGAAAGCGCTTACAGTCCAGCGGTATCAATTAAACCACCCGATCTGACGTCGATTCTTAATTCTGATGATAGCATAGTACTCACTAATGCGACTCCAAGAAAAATAGCACATCCGTTATCTCGAACGTTTATTACCTCGTCTCGAATTTTACAGACCCTTTCTAATATAACGCAAGGCAAAACAAAAACCGAGAGTCCTTTAGTGCAAAATACTAAAAAAGGTTTGAATGAAAATTTAACGGATCAGCTGGTAAATTCACATTACAGTTCTCCAACTCATACTTCGAGTTCTAAGAAGCGAAAGGCAACAGAAATGCTTGGTTCTTCTACTTTTACTCAACCCTTCAAAATACCTCACACGAGTCTAGAATCAGACAGAAAAAGTAACATCAATACGGCTAATGTCGAATTTAAATTTGTTGAGGAGCATGCAAAATCTAAAGCAGAACAAGAACAGAATGCATCTATTAATAAAAATATTGATGGTTCTACGTCTACGGACAGTAAAACAGAAGAAACAGTTGATAATGATAACGGTGTAAAGTGTTTCATATACGCGGAGGATGAGCATAGTAAAAATAAAAGTTTCTTAATTCAAGCAGAAGAACCACTAAAGGATGGAATAAATGAAAAGAATCGGGTTCAAGAATGTGGTCCATACTTACTAGGTAATCTTGAAGTAAGAATGTCTGAAATAAATGGTACAATTAGCGTTTGGGGTAAAGAAGTGAATCGAGATGATATAAACGACAATGAAGACGACACAGAAGTGTCTATAACACCATCCGAAAAGAAAACATGTAATTGTTGGCAAAGTACGCCGGAAATGAGATTTAATGAAAGTCCGCTTGTGTGTTCAACGAATAAAAAATTGAGAATTCCATCTAGATTCAATAGATCTAACTCCAATAGTTCTCAATATCGTCGCAATTTATCATCAAATGCAATGGGAACATCTTCCTTAGGAGACGATTTGCATGATAAAATACATACGGATCATTCTTTTAATCTAAACAATTGTGTTCTTTCTTGTGAAAAATATGATTCTCCAAAATATAACGAAGAATGGCCAATTTGTAAAGGTGCTTCAAGCTCACAAGAAAAATTACATTCCTGTTGTATACATCCTCCAGAACTCGTTAACGAAGAACGTCGCTGTGATTTGCATCACGAAAAACAAAAATATGATCTTAGTCCTAAACATCTTAAAAATAAGTTATATAAGGGTATTAGAAGGAACTCGTATAAAAATACTTTTATACCAGATTCAAAGAATCGCTTAAATGATAACGTTACGAATACCAATATCGAAACAAACGAGGTAACTTCCAAATGCCGTACGTGTCAACGTTCCTTTCAGAATGTAGTGGCTAATCCAACACACTCAAAATTCAGTAACATTGTTAGAAATTTCTCTTATTCATGTAAGTCGTCTTTGGATAACATAAGTAACCATGAAAATTCCGAGAAACATACTTGTAGTCATAGTGTTTCTAACGATGATGAAGAAGATCCTCTTATACCATTTAGGCGATCTAATGAAACACCCGAGGTAAAATAATAGAAAATAATTCAACCTGTTCAATGATCAGTTTTAGTGTTTTTCTTTAGTACTTATGGTTTTTTTTTTTTCTATTCAGACCAGACAACGAAGACTAAGTGGTAAAAAGGTACGGGGAATTCTTATGGACCTCTTAAGAGGATGTGGAGATTGTCGTAGTAGCAGCAGTACGAATTTAATTAAAAATGAGCAACAGACGAAAGAAGCACCTTATACTGTAAATGGTCCTCCACAAATTAAAATCACATCTCCCTCAATGGGACCTACATCTTCAGGTTCTACCCAATGTAACGAGAGGTAATATATTTCCAATACTATTGAAATAATATAGCGCTATAAAATAAATTGTAAAATATACTGTTATTCCTACTTCAGATGTTGTCACGCATATGCGCTGCGGATCGAATCACAGCTTGAAGAATTCCGCACGGAAATGGAAAGAGTACGATCACGTTCCGACGCAATCCTTGATATGCTCAATATGCTTCACTCTGTGGATATGAACTAATGAAACTTACACAGTGCTTTTTCCTTGTACAGATCACTTTCTTAATTTCTTTTTTAAGTCAACATTCACACTGTCGTCAATCTTTGTTATTTTCCTCTTTTAATTAATTGCATATAGAAAAACACGTATTCAATTTATTAAAATGAAAAACAGTCGAATCAAAAGAAAAAGTCACATCGTTTGTATTATAGTGATTCGATTTCGTGGCGTTGATAAATGTGATATTAAAAAAAAAAAAAAAAAAAAAAAAACAATTTGGTATAATTTTTGTATCGTACAAACGTTACTACTTTTTTTTTTCTTTTTATAATTTAAGTAAGAAATTTTTGTTACAATTATAGACCGACAATGTTTGAACATGTAATTTACGTGACCGAGTGAGACGACGATCATCGCCTCATTAAAATTTTATTTCGATATCAATAAAATACTGAATAATTTCTTATTTAATAGTTGCAGTCGCAGGAATCGAATCCTGTACCAGCCTCTCCAGGTAAAACTCCAGGTGGCATCTCTCCTTGTCCTTTAAAGATGTTGCTATAGGATGTCTTCAGATAATTCACGTGTCCCTGCAGTGATCTTATGCGACCCTGAGCTTGTTCGAATGCCTCATTCAGATTGTTTATTTGACCTTGCATTTTTTGTCGAATCTATCAACGATAATAGGTAAGCTACAGCCAATGTTGAATATTAATTTTAGCTTATATAACAACAAATTACTTCATCTCTGTCTTTTTGTGCAGCTCTTGCAGTGGCTCGACATTGAGCCAATTGTCTTTCCATTTCCGCTATCTGACTTTGCATCGTTCTTCTAGCAGTCTCACACCTCTCCTTAGTTCTTGCCACTTGTCTTGCGGAATCTTCTCGGACCTTTCAAAGAAAAGGAATGTTAATTGAAATGATCGATTTACAATGTTCAAAATAACATACTTGATCAAGCATTGCTGTTAATTGAGTAACTTCGTGCATCTTTTCATCGATGCGCTTTTGTAGCTGCGCCTCGTGTTCCTCGAACCTAGCAAGCGTGTTTTTCATACGTTCATTTTCGTGTCGCAATTCAGCATTTTTTCGTTCCAATTCATCGAATCGACCCGAACCATGGCCTCTTTCATCCTGTGAATTTTACATACACATGAATGTGTAACATCTTGAATACAATTTTATTTGATAAAAATGGATGAACAATAACTTGAAGCTGTTGAAACTCGTTATGCATCACATCCAATTGATTTTGCAAAGCCTGCATCTTATCTTTGGTAGCTAACAATTCTCGTGAAAGATCCTCGCAATTTCGTTCGGCGACTGCACGCATTTGTTGCGCTTCTTGCAGTTTCACTTGAGTTTGTTTTAGAATGTCTGGCAATGGCGCCAATTCTGCAAGCTTTTCTTGAAACTGATTCTATACAAAAAATCACAGTATTGAGAAACATGTAGCTAAATGTATAAATAGATCTCTTACATACTTTAACTCTTCCTATTTCCAGAGTCACGTTTTCATTCATTCGTGCATTATCCATTTCCATGAGATCAAGTTGCCGGCGTTGCTCTTCAACTTGTTGTTGTGCCTATTTTTTGTCACTGTCGTTAGCATATGCATTTACGTTGACAATTAAGAGAACGTATGTTATTATAGTAAAAAAAACCTGTAGGTATTTGTTGCGATAATCCTCCAACTGAGCGGCTTGATCTTGAATCATAGATCTCAATTCTTCAAGTTCGTCTTGCGCTTCTCGAAAGCGTTGTTTGAAAACGATAAGAGCTTGTTCTTGTTCAATCATTTGTTCCTTAAAACCTGTCATTAAATGAATTGTAACATTTACATATTTTTCTTTAACAAGATTCAGAATGATCACCTTCGTATTTATCTTTTTCGGCTTCTAGTGCCTTCAAACGTTCCTGAGCATCGATCAGTTTTATATCCAATTTTTCCTTCTCTTCGATAGTTTCGCGTGTTTGCTGCTTCAGTTTCTCGGCATCTGTTCTTAAACACGAAACCTCGCATAATTTGTTTTTGTAATCATCTTGTAGACGTGCGTATTGCTCGCGTAGATCACGTAACTGCTGCTGAGGACATGTGCTAGCTCCCTTTTATTAAATATTTCGTTTAGTTCGTGTTAAACTTCTTTGTTAAGTTCAATCTTACCATGGGAGCATTTATACAGGAGCCAGTACAAGTTGAAGTAGGAGGCGGTGGCATCTGTACACCATAGAAAATAGATTATTTTATAGTTTAAAAAAGAGCATCCAACTAAATTTGATCTAAGAAGAAGAAAATATTCTGAATTTTTTATAAAAACATTTATTTCATACAAAATTCATGGTGATAATTACTATAACAACAATTACTATCGACGCCAATTTTCAGAATTGTGATAATCTTTGTGACAAGCTATATACTCATGAAACAACCAATTTCTCATACAATCAAGCTGATCGAAATACTGTTTTGATACCTTAGAAAGAGGTACAGAGGACGATGGTGGTAGAACTGGTGGTAATGTTGGAGGTGGTACATAAGGCGGAGGACTTGAGCCTTGAAGAGTCATAGGTGAAGGAGGGCAACAACCACAAGGTGCGCAAGGAGCGGTGCATTTCAACAGCTTACGTTGTTGTTCCAGCTGCTGACGTTCTCGTTGTACATTAGCAAGTTCCATCTGCATGTTACGTACTTCGCATTCCATACTGCCTAATTGTTGTTCCTAAAAGGGTGGCTTGTATATAAATAGGAAAAATTGCAGTGACGTTTAATGAATATGTCGAAGATGTACTAGCTGTTTGTTACTGCTCTCGTAAGCTGCAATCTTATTCTCTATTTCTGCAGGGCAGACGCTTTTCGGAGGTGGTTGGACGCATGGTGATTTAGCGACAGCAGGACTTCGGCAACACATTTCATCGATTTGGGAAGATGCACCACTCGTAATACAAGCACCTGTTACTGATGCACCGCCCGCAAGTCTGGGTGAATCTAAATATTAAATATTGGTCATTAAATTATTTCTTTCATCGTACAGTAATAGATACTATGTATCTTACCTTCGCTAGGTACACATGTATGACTCCCGGCTTTCACTGAAAGGTATCAACAATATATTATTCCTTAACGTTAGAGAGCACAGATCTGATTGATTCGATTGGAACTTACCACTTGTGGCGTTAGCGATTGGCGATAAAGAATCAGGTTGAAGACAACACTTGCATCGACAATAATCGTCGTCTTGCTGTAACGTAGTGGTGTATGAAACCGAGCGTAAAGGGCACGGACTTGATACTCCTGACGAAATTGCACCTGGACAGGTGTAACAACAAGGACTAGTGACTCGTTGATTCAAGCAAGCTATCTGACGTGTCAATTCCACGTTTTCCTTCACTACTATTCTCATTTCAGCCTGTAGCCCGCATACCTTCCTCTGTAAACTCTCAACGGCAGAATCCTTTTCTAGCAACGCTTCTTCTAATTTATATCTAATATGGGGCAAAAGATCACATGTCTTATGTCAACATATTTTTCCGATGACAAAATCTGTGCAACTGTTGTTAAGGCAACTGATCGATGTTCACGTTTTTTACTCGATTTTATATTATTTGTTCCGTGTCAAAAAACGATACTGGGTGTTTTAAATGAACACTTACTTGCCACCTTCTAACTGGGCATTCTCTTTTGCCAATTTCTCTTGCATCGTTAACGATTCTGTTAATTTTCCCGTCAAAGTTTGGAGACTTTCCTTTCCTTTCTTCTTGCTATCTGCTACAACAATTTTCGGAATTTCGTCCTCTGTGTTCCCGCAAACGATTACTCTCGGAAGCCTAATTGTACAAAGTGACGCGTTTGTAAAAGAAAATGTTAAAAATGTTAACCAAATCAGAACATACTTGTCTTCAGGATACTCTATTTGAGGCAAATCGAAACGATCCTCGGGCTTTGATATCCTTGTCGCAGACACTTCTTTGTCTATTTTATCTCTGATCTTTTCTTGCGCTGCAACTTCTTCTTCTTCTTCGGCAATGGCCTAAAAATCGATTACTAAATCATTCACTCAATGCAATTTGTACTTTATGCTGTTGATATTTAACGAAAATGCAAAATATGTACCAAGCTGAGTTTCGAATACGGTTGCGGTATCATGTCGAACATTTTTGCAAAGGCGGTGCTCGAGACATCGGCCAAGCCTAATAATCGTTGCAACTTCCGTGTTATTTGTTCGAATTCAGCCAATTTCCTCATAACTTCATCTTGCTTTTTCTGAATAGTTAAGGTATCTTCGCTCGTTAAATCTTTTTTCTATAATACAAAAATAGAAAACCCATGATGGAAATATGTTTCGAAGGAGTCGATGTCTCTCAAAAGCATTACTTTTGAAAGTTCAGCTATCTCTAGCTTTAGTTGCTCGATGTCCTTTGCAAGTACAGCACAACGTTCATCAGCATTCTTCATTTCTAACTTTACAGTGCTATCGGTAAAAGGTGATGAGCTCAACATGGATTCCTGTCGACCACCAGGTTTAATCGACGCACCTGCTCGAAAATTGTCATTGATCAAATTAAAATTGTCTTTGGCATTTCAGTGAACCCTTATCAAATTTTCTTGCGATTACTGTACCTTCACCAACGCCAGGAGGAAGTGGATAAAATGGAGGAACCTGATCCCATTGCCCGACTGTTCCAGTATTTGATATCTCTTTAATCGTGGCTTCCAGCCCTTTATCTCCGACTTCGGTATGTCTTGATCCAACTTCGGTATGTTTTGATCCGAGTCCGCTATGTCTTGATCCGACTCTTGATGATGATTTCTTTGATAGTGAGATTCTGTCACTTTTGTTATCAGGAAATTCTTGTGACTCGTTCTCAGCCATGCTACAAAATCATAATTGATTTATTAATAGCAATAAAATAACGATATATCGCGATCGAAGATTCAATATATCCTACTTTAATGATTCTTTCGTTTCTGAATTTTCACTTTTACGTTCTTGCGTCTCTAACGTTTCTAAATTTGGCTCCTGCTTATCTTCCTCCTCCTTCCTTTTATGATCATCTGCCTCGTGGGTCTGTCAAACGAAAAATTTTACTTTTAATTATTATAGATGCATTTTATATACTGATTACTGTTGCGCAATTTAAATACCAATACCAAAATCACACACCCGTTCAAGAATGTGTGGCTCAAGTTCTGCTGTCTGTTGCAAAAGCACCGATTCTACGATATGTTTAGAATTCTTGAAACTTTTTGATTTGTACAAAGGTACATGTCCCTCCTGATGATACTCGATCGTAAACGAATGTATTTCAGGTAAATTCAGGGGCTTCTTCAAATCGAACAGAGATTCCAATGAACCAAATGCATCTCTTTTCAAAGAGGATTCGTTCAATTTGGCGTTTTTCTTCTGCGACTTTGAATTGTACTTTTGCAGATGTTTCAATTCGTGGAAGCTTTTCGTTTCAGTAGGAAAATTGTCGAACTCGCGAACGTGAAAAGGCCTCGGTGAACTTTTTGCTAAACGAGATGAGTTCCAGGTGCACGGTCGTCGCTTCTACGATCAATTAAGTTATCATTTGGCACGTATAATGTTTATTTTCTATTAAAATTTTTATGAAAAGCAATGTTAATAGGACAGCATCATGATATAATACAGTACAGGTACATATGTATCTTTCTGTAAATGTATTAATAAAATTAACTAACATTTTACCTTCATTATTTTACCTTCGACACAACACCGTTGCTTCATTCAATACCGCAAAGTCCTTGCAGTCTTATCGTTAAGTTCGCAAACGATGATTATTTCTCCTTTATTCACTGAAGAAACGGTATCGTTATCAAATAGCGTCGAACGATTTCTCAATTATCTTTTTCGAAATATTTTTTTAAAATGCTTTTTATAAAATTCGAAACTGAAACATATAACGTGTTAAGATGTTAATAAAGAGAATAAAACTTATGGCAATAGAGAAAATATAAAAGAATTTTATGTACCAAATTTGACACTTACCCAAGAAAACCTTCAATTTCTTTAAATAAGAATATGAAACATGCGTCTTTTATTTTTTTGACATACAGCGATATATTTGAATATATCAGCATGCCCCCAAAATTCGTGATCGACGCGTAATTTTATAAATAACATATGTTTGCTGTAAATGTATTTTTCAGCAAAAAAATGTAATTTTTCACTATAATATAAGTAAAAAGAGTATAACATTACCCCAAAATGCTTTAAAATCAACGCAAACTGTACATCCGTTTATTTGTATAGACAGTTACATTACGTTATACAAATTTGTATTAAGAATGGTGTAACTTTTTTTACAAAGATGAATTGAAGAAGTATAAAAATCAAATATGACAAAGTAACATAAAAACTAATAAATATAAGTTGATATTTAAATTTTATTATATATAAATGGTATGTTTATTGTATCAATATCTTTTGACAGTATTTATACTGTTTCGAAAATGACCAAACGAAAATTCCGTTATACACAAACATCTCTGTTGTCAAATTCGATTTACTAACGTTATTTACAAAGAAATATGAATACGATCCTATCAGTAACAGTTAATAAAATTTATATTATCCGTAAATAGAATGTTTCATATTCCTATTAAATGGAGGTTATGGATTACAGTAAGTGTTTACAGTATATTTGCGTAAAGTATATAACACATAGCATTTATGAAAATAAATGAAATATTTTACATAAAGAAGTGTTTATATACGGAATTTATTACAAAATTTGTACATTTTTATTTTACAAAACATACATATAGCATTATAAGTTGATTTTTATGTTATAACTAATCATGTCTTTCATTATACACTAACAAAAACATTACAAAATTGATTTTAATTTCAAGTAAATGTTGTAGGAGAAGAACCATCAGAAATGGAAGATGCAGGCGAAGATCATTCTGAAGAATCAGATAATAATGACAATGTAAACAATAATCCAGATCCTGAAATTCAAATAATAGAGGAAAGTAAGTTTACTTCATCTTTAATGTGTATTGTAAAAGTCAAGTATCTTATGTTACACAAAGCTTACATTTTAGAAAAAGATGAACACGATGAGTCAAAGGTGAAAAGACCAAAGGAAGTATCTTTAGATGAATCTGAAACTGATTCTGACCAGTCCTGTCCGATATGTATGGATTTATGGACCAGTTCAGGAGATCATCGTTTATGTTGTTTGCGTTGCGGACATTTATTTGGATATAATTGCATTCTAAGATGGTTGCAAAATTCTTGCACTACCGGAAATCGTCGTTGTCCTCAATGTAATAGAAAAGCTGCTGTAAAAGATATTAGAATGCTGTATGCCAAGAAATTAGCATCAATAGATACTGCAGAATTAGATAAGCTGAAAGAACAATTCAACAATGTTAAATCAGAAAAAAATCGTATAGAAATGGAACTTTCAAGGTATACTCTCAGGCAGAAGTTATTGGAACAACAAATTAGTAGTATGAGAAATCGTATAACTGAACTCGAGAATCAACAGTCAGAAATAAGTGTTCATTCCTGCCAAAATATTTCAAAACATATGATTAAAAAGTTCCATTTGGATCGATCTATAGAAATATGTAAAGATGGTGGTTGTCGCGTGTTAGATTATAATCCATCGCTTGGAATCCTGGTTGCATCCCAGAAATCATCAAGCACATTATTCTCGGGTTACGGTATTAAAAAGATTGACACAGAAAAGTTTCAACCACGTCAATTTATCTTTCTTCATTCGCAAGCTATAAGGGATGTTACATTCAATACTAACCAGCAGTCGTTGTTACTTAGCGTTGGTTTCGATAAATGTGCAAAATTGATGGACATTCAAAATCATGTCACCATGCACACTTTTCAAGAAGATTCTCCATTGTGGAGTTGCTGCTGGTCAGGCGACAATCCAAATATATTTTTTGTAGGTGCCCAGAATGGATCTATAACACAATATGATATTAGACAAACTTCTAGTGCTGTTGAAAGTTTGGATAGTCCAGGTGATAGATCACCAGTGGTTTCTTTAGCAACAGTACCTGCTAATCCTGGCAGTGGTATCAGTCGAGGGGGTTTCATTGCATGTCGTTTAAATACTTGTTACGCTTACGAACAAAAAGAATCAAAATATATTCCCAAACAGATATTTCTTGAAGGTCCTTTCGTATCTGTATGTTACGACGAAAAAAACAATCATACTTTAATATCTTCTCGGCCGAATGCCAGACAACCTCATGCTAGGCACGTAGTGTGTACAATAGAAAAAGGCAGCGATGAATCAACTATCTGTAATGTAGTACACACGTTTCATGCTGGTAGCTCTCAGCAACTATTGTCTCGACCCTGTTATATAAACGTTGAGAACGATACATTAGTTGCTGCACATCAAGAATCTAGTAGTAGTATATCTTTGTGGAGTACATCTAGTGGAAAACAAGTAAATAGTCTCCCGGTATCTGATCCTGTAGTAGATATGTGTGCAGTCGAAATTAGTAATACTTTATTTTTAGCAACTCTCTCTACGAAAAAAGTGAGGATTTATAGCCATGGATAATTTTCATTGTTATAGAAATAACATAATGATTTAATAACTTCTGACATTTGTAACATTTTTTTCGTGTTTAAAGCATTTTTTTTACATGTACATCACAAATTTACAGTCTAACAGATAGATGATATAACTGCCATTACTGCATTTTTGTTTTCTTTTACCATAAGTTTGAACAGTATTCCTTTGCATAAAATTATGTGATAAAAACATATGTAAATAACATAACATAAAAATTTACTATTACTATTGACAATGTAGACATTTTTCATATGCATAACTATGAAGAAATATTAAAAATAAATCCTAGAGTTATCATTATACAATTAAATATACATATTTTTATTACTATGCAATACATGCAATAAATATTTATTACAACATATATTATATTTTTCTAATAATTTAAAAGTGTTTCAATTATTATCCTAAACACTATTTCAAAATAAAATAGTAATAATAAAGATAAATGTATATTGATAATCGTTAAGCGAGATGATTTATAAGATATGAGACTTATTGAAAGTAGGAGCATCAATTAGCATATTAATTATGCATCATAAAAAGGTTATTTTTGTATAAGTATTTTCAATACTCTTCTTGAAAAATGTAATTTATTAATATTTTTGAAATATTAAATTACATTTAGAATTTTCATGGAAGTTGTAACCAATTGCTTTCATAAATTAACCCATATGTTCCTAATATGTAAAATCCACGAATCTAAATCAAATAAACCAAACAGTATTTATAATCTATTAGTACACCTCTAACACAGCCTCCACATAAATTACTAGAAAATGTAAACGGAAGTTTGAAAAATCCTATTTCAGCACTGTCGAAGAAGATAGAGTATTGCTTAAATTGTATTAAAAAAAAGAAAAAATTGTTTACATGTATAATATTAGATCCAAGTAATCTTTCCCGAATAAGTTTGAAATATATGCTACACATGCTGCTATTTTATTACTGATTTTAAGAATGATTTAGGTTTTTTAAACCATTTATAGAGCTGCAATTTTTTACAAATATAATTTCACAAGCTGGAAGTGTCAATGTCATTCGGAAGTGTATTATATCTTTCGTGAATTTTATAATCATTTTTGTTATTAAGGTTCACTGTATTTTTACTTGGAAACCAAAGCTATTTTGTTATTCTTAGAAATATAGTAAATGCAATTTGGTGTTGTAAATATGGAATGTACATCTCCAGCTTCGAGTACAGAAAATTATGCATATGGAAAAATATATATATAATTGACATAGAAAATTATAAATCATTAAAACACACCCCATCACCAAAAATGTACAGAATTTAAGTATTAACAGTATAATGTTTATGTTACGACTCTTTTTACAAATACCATTTAAGGCTAATACGTTTTTATCTATTTCGATAATATACAATCAGATCTAATTAAAGTAAACCTCTTTATGGCTTAAAGAAATGTACAAAAAATTAGTGATAAAAGTACAAACTAGTAATTGTTTTCATATTGATGTAACAAAGTATACAGCACAAATATTGATCTATAAAATCAAAACATTTACTAAATATTGCCTCATGCGAGAAATAATTATATATTCATACAAACCAAAAAAAAATCAACTGAATAAATGTAACTACATAATGTTAAAGGAAAGGCCAATGAAAAATTTAAAAGTATGTAATGATTTATACAAAGAAATTTAATAACTGCTCAACAGATTAAATTATTGTTCTGTAAATAAAAAGAAACTGTTAACTGCTTGCATCAAATTCTTGTAACCATTAAAACTTTTATCATTTAAATAACATTTTAATGTTTTTAATAAACGTAAGATGAAAAATAATATTCCTTTTATAAAGTTCTTTTAAATGTGATTATCAAGTTAGACTTAACAGATTTTATTAGTTATTGATTTTTTTCATGCCTATTTTACAAGTTAAATAAATGACTATTATTTAAAGATATTAAATGAATTTTCCATGATTTTGTTTGTCATCGAAATATTGTCGTTACAAGTGCTGAATTTGATTATGAAACTGCTATGGTATCAATAACTGGGCATAGTGTTGCGGAAGTTTCGTAATGACAAAATGAACAGTGCTTTTGCATGACATATTAACTATACAGTTATCACTAACTGAAGAGTTGCTCAGTGGCACGTTCCAAATCCCAATTATATGAAGATAAAGCAACTCTTGCATTGTGTTCTTCAATTCCCATATCTGTTAGCCGCCTTATTTTATCATCTAAATCAGGCATTTTTGCTGGTCCTGTAATTGATTCAATGTTTAGAACGAAATAATTATCAGCTTCAAAATTAAATATAGTCATGTATACTTACCACCTGCATATACAAATGTCCAATGTTTGGCAGTTTGACGGAACATTTCTGGATGTTCTTTATATTGTTTAGCTACTACTGCATCTTGTGGATCATCTGGTTCTGCTGCAGACAGTAAAGCTTGTAATGATAACAATACAGTGCGCAAAGTCATAGCTGCAGCCCTAAAAATAAAAATCTAAACTATATAATATACTTCAGAATATCAAATTAATGTATTTTAATTTATCTGATATACTACATACCATTGATCTTTCAATATATCCAAACAAATAGCACCTGTTACCGAAGATATATTAGGATGCCATATTTTTGTTATAAATCTCACCTATAACAAAGAAAAAAAAAGAAAATGGATAATTCATAAAACAATCTTTGCTGTGAGAAAATAAACAATTACTGTATAAATCATATACAGTTCTAAATTTTATGTTAAATTTATTTAATTTTTCAACAACATATAACTGACTCTTTAGCATTAACATACATTAATCATATTGACTTACAAAGTGCTTACTTTAGGAGGATTGAAGGGATATGTCTCGGGAACTTTAATCTCGAGTACAAAATTACCTCCCTCGTATGGTGTGTCTGGTGGACCAGCAATCTCACCTTTTAATTCAGTAAAGCTATCATTAACCAATTCAACCTTAATTGCGCATTTTGCAACCTGTAACAACATTTAAAATTAGTACTGACCAAAATAAATATTTTCATAACAAGTTCAGGTTATAATTAAAAGTTGTTCAACAGATACATGCTCACAGGTGTCAATATTACTGTAAACAGTTTGTTTGAAACAAAATTATTCTATGAACAAGTGAATGAAAAAAATATGAAAAATCAATAACATGAAACCATTTCTGTTATTCCATTACTGATGCCAATAGTGCATAAAATTTCCCCACATATTATTCTTTATACAAATCAGAAAGCATATATTTTAAGTGGATACAAATATTGCGCATAATGTTACACTGGAATGGCATATAATAAATAGTTTTCAGAAACATGTACAGAATATAATGATTGACCCATTTGACATCAACACTTGATAATGCAATGATGTAATGTCATATTATGATAATTTACATATTGTCAGAACAAAAAGATTGTGATACTATGACGCAAATAGCCTGTGTATAAACATGTGGAAATAATAAATGAAAACAGATCTTTATTAGCATACAGAATGGATCTTCTAGAACAGCGTAAAATCAAGAGAGTATGTCATTGCTCTCAGAAATGGAAAACAAATGGTATGTACTATTTTGAACAAACAATTAATAAAAAAAATGTACATATTACGGATGTGTTGAATGTAAATCTAAAAATTGATTTCTTTGCACAACTTGCATTTTAACTGATTGGAGAATCTAGGAAGCATGAACAATTTATTTATAAACTTTGTTCTTAATCAACAACAATTAATATACAATTCTTTTTGATACAATATAGAAGCATTTAATTAACGAAAGTCAGCAACTTTGAAAGCGGATGACTGTCAAGAATATCATACAACAGGTGCCTGTGCTTTGTTCGTAGTAATTTTATCGCCCAATGAATTGCGGCACATTTTTGTCACGCCACACATGAGATTTCTTTCAAACGATATCATAAATCGAACGATGTTGTCTAGCAATTTTAATAGCATTATTTCATGAAAAGCAAGTGGTACATTTTAAAATCATCTAAAACTATTGTTTACTCACCTCCTCACTTTTTATAACCTCTTTAAATTCGCGTTTGATTCTCTGTGCCGCGATGTTCGCCATAACTACCGAATCGGTGGAACGGTCAGCACACTGTCATCGTCATTCGAATAGATTAGCAAAGTTCGCTGAAAGCGTCAACGTGCGCAAATCTTTCAGGTAATAATACTCTAGTTTACTCTCTCTGTCTATTCAGAAAAATGATCGTTCTAACTCGTGTTCTTTGCTAAAATCTTCGCTCACGGACACATCTAATTTATCATTCAATCATCACCGGCGCCACATTGATGAGAAAACTTGACTGTCACCCGCTCGTGTTCACCCTTTTGAATTTCATCTATGTTCACGCCGTTCTTCTTTAAGGCGCCAACTTGTAAACAGTAAAGATTAATTTTTAATAATACTTTGATTATTCATATTATTTGAATTCATCTGTTTCAAATGTTTAAAGCAATATAAATTATACATGAAAGTATGCATACATTTGGTAAGGATATTTAGATGGTTCGTTTGGTTAATTTTTTCTATAAAAAAAATTAAGAAAGTTCTAATTTTTAACCTGACAATTTCAAATTTTAAAATAGAATAATTACAAATTTATATTTTCCATATTCTATGAAAATTAATAGAAGACTATAGTTTATATAGATCTTTTAATTGTAATATACATATATAATCTGAAGTGTTATTTTGTTAGATGAAATTAATTATTAATATTTCTCTGTATACGTAAGGTTAAGATCACAATAGCCATGCAAAAATATGATAAATAACATTTTGAAAGATTTTACAATTTTTAATACGTGACAAAATTAATTTGTTGTTTTTAATTTATTATTTTATCAATAAAGAAAAAAAAATAGATGATAAGAAATGCGCTCACGCGGTTATGTCCAATGTTTAATAGGCGGAGCATAATACGGTACGTCACATCCGGTTCTTAGAGCGTTCTCTGATTGGACAGTCTCTTTGTGGTTTCTGTTTTAGTGATGCCTGTGTCCCAGCCAGTGCGTGCCAAGAGTTTGTTACGCGCAAACTTGGAAAGTTCTCGCGGGCAATTTTTGCAAAGCAGAATGCCAAATATCAAAGTCTTCAGTGGCACATCACATCCAGATTTAGCTCAACGTATCGTCGACAGACTTGGTATCGACATTGGAAAAGTTGTCACGAAGAAATTTAGCAACCTCGAAACATGGTAATGGTCGCAAATCACTGCTGTAACCACGTTATTGTCATCGTGTTAAACCAAGGTTCTAACCACGTGTCACCAGAAATTTCACTTAAATTCTTTCTGTCTACTATGTATTTCCATAAGAGATGGAACATTTTCTAGCATTTTTGTGTTATTCTTTTTGTGTTCTCATTAATTTATCAACCTTACCAGCGTACAAACAACCCTGTCGCGCAAGGCCGGTTTCCCCGTGTTCTACAAAGCCGCGATGTTTAAGTTGAAGGTCAACTAGTACAATTATTAATACACATTTTAAGAATTTATAGCTGTTAATATATCTTTACAAGCGTGGTTATATCAATTTAAAGTACGTTGATTTGTAAACAAGTGATAAGAATATTTTATTGCCATGTTATTGCTTACTGCTAACAAAAATAATCTCAGATACTATAGAAATCCGGTTATACGTACAATTAAACAATATATGTACATGTAATTAGTTAATAGAGCAAGATCATTAATTCAAAGTCATATATCGTACAGTTAATTATCTTATTTTATGTAATAAATTTTAGAATATGCATAACACTTCTGATCCTATAACAATGTATAATAATTTGTTTCTTTAAAAGTGTGGAAATAGGAGAATCAGTTCGAGGAGAAGATGTATACATTGTACAAAGTGGAAGTGGAGAAGTAAATGACAATTTGATGGAACTATTGATCATGATCAATGCTTGTAAAATTGCTTCTGCATCTAGAGTAACTGCAGTAATTCCTTGCTTTCCATATGCAAGACAAGATAAGAAGGATAAGGTAGGATACGTTATTATATTTTTCATTTTTTATCTAATGTGTATTACCTATAGTATATTAGAACAAATTTTAATTATATTTCTTATGTTTTGCAATTCTATTAAAATTATACTGTAGTTTTATAATACATGCAAATATACTTTCATTTCAGTTTTTAGAAATAGCTCATAAGACCTTATTTAGGAAAAATTTTCTTTTTTAATATCACATTTAATATGTAACATATGATAGTTATCAGTTGAGAAATTATTCAGTTTATATGTTGTGGTATCTGTTGTTTGTTTCTCTTGTTATTGACTACACAATGATTTACCTATAAGTATATATATATATAAATATTCACACAATTTTTTACTTTTATTATATATTGTTTTGAAAATACTTCAAGATTTTGCATTATTTATTAATTTAAAAAAATGGAAATAAAACACTAGAAATTGAAAATGAGGTTCTACAAAATTGTGTGAATATAAGTCACTTACATAACAAAACAACTTACAGAAACTATGCTTCAATGATTCTAATATTCTAGGTATATAATAGTTATCTTGTTGATGTATGCCATTAATTAACATGATTACTTTGCTTCAAATATGCAAATAAAATGAAAACTCCTGTAGGAAATAATTAATAAATTAATACTTCTCATATAGTTGTATAATGATCTATGTTTTCTACAGTTGGATGTTTACTATGTGCTTATTTCTCTCAAGTAAGCATTTCTGATGTAATAATCATAGAGAATACATATTGTTGGTAACTTGTGTGATAGGGTGTTTTTAATAAAAATGTTTATTTTATGTCATTTGTAATCATATGCAATGAAAATATGACTCTCACAATAAGGAGAAAATGACTCATTGAAGAAGTAGTTAAATTTTTTTTTATATGATATCTTCACAGGGTGGTGATGGAGGTGACAACTCAAATTCTAAGAAACAAATTGTCATGAAGTCAAACGAATGGAAATTCAGGGTAACTTGTAGTGGTCTTTTTTCTCTTTTTACTGTTTCATAGTGTTGCAACCAACAAATGGAATAATATCACGTTTGGAATGTTAAACATGAATTTCATCATCATATAAAAAATGCTTTTAACTTTTTAGCTTTATCATTGGGTCTTACCAAATGGTACACACATGTCTTATAAGATTTTTGTTATTATTTCATGTGTACCTTTTTTTAATAAAGGTATAATTATCATAAATTTAGTATATACATATATATCAAATTGTGAATTACACATAATATAACTTAAAATATTAAACATGAACTACAAACAGTTTGAGTTTGTAGTATTTAAATATTTACTGCATGTAAATATACATGCAAAATTGCTCATTTTACAAATGGAAATGCATGAAAGTTATATAAGCACCATTATTTATAAATATATAATTCTATACAATAGCATGCACATGAAGATTAAGGGTATTGTACTAAAAAGAAAGGATCATTCATCTTACTTATCTTATGGGTTAATACACAGTGGATATACATTCCATTGAAAGAACTCGTATCAAATTTGCATGAATTACTTTTTCAGGAGTATTAATTTTAATTAGTACATATACATGGTACAATGTTTCATTTTATATCATATATGACAGTGATTCAAATGGAATAAAACTTACAGCAAAAGTTTAACAAAGTAGTAAACAATAAATACGTTACAGTTAAAGCATTGGGTTTTGTAATTATCTAGGGTTATCAAAAGTATGATAACCTACATGAATATTGCAAAACTATTATCAAAATTCGTCGAGGGGGGCCTTTCGTGCGTTCATACTGCAATATTTACTATCATTATGTATTGGATGTGTTTTGGTTTATCAAATCTTTTAGTAAACTAAATATTTATTATTCTTTATTCTGAAGAGTGATAAAACTGGATGCTACTACGTTATAAAGAAATAAGCACAATAAAAACATATTATTGTAAGGAAAATGTGATGGATTATACAGAAACAAATTATATTGTAAAAGATGAAACATATTGCTAAAACTAATTCTTGTAAAAAAAAACAAAAACAAATGTAAAATACGTATTTTTAAATTTCTGAATAGTTGGGTATTTTCAGGATTTTCTGCCTGAGCTCTCTACAGTGAGTATAAAAACAAGATTGTCGAGTGTAACGTTTGTAGCTATAACGTGATGAACAGTAATATACGTGATGAACAATTTATAATATGATTTTTAGTTTCTTACAAAATTTTCTTTGTAGGACTAACAAAACTTATAATTTGTTGCTATATTGCACAATGGTACCCCCATAAATGAATGAATGAACTATTTGGTCAATACGTATTGATACCTGAATGAGAGGGCAAAATATTAATATAATAGCATTCTACATACATTCTTAATAATCTACATGTACATACACAATGGGGTATACATCTGTATGTTAAATGGGTACTAATTATTATATTCCTAAAGATGTTATCATCTGAATGTACTAATCAAAGAATGCCTGTTTTATTAATGAAATAGTGCTTCAACAAAAATAGAAGCAAAAATTGTGATCGTGTTGTTCTGATAATAGTATGTTAGACTAATAACACGAATAAAACTATTTTTAAGATGTTTAACATTAGACAGCTTTTGTGAAGTTTATGCTCATTATAGATAAGTTAATTAAGATAACTTAGCTGCAACTATTTCTCTGAGCACAATGCATTTGTTTTTATTATATATCTTGATTATAATTTTTAACTCACAGAATTATTCATTGCCTTTAAAGACAAAATTAAGAAATCAACATGCACTGTGTTCTGTTTTATTAATTCATAAGTTTGATTTATGCTTCATTTACACTTTTCGTTGAGTCTAACTGGGGTGCATTTGCAACATGCCGTTTTTCCTTTTTATTTGTATGTATACACGTACAGTGTATTTTTAATGTGTATTTCGATACATAGCCATTGTATTCATATTTTGTCCCCTCTAAAAGATTAATACTTAAACTTTTTTATGACACACTTTTTTGATAAATACTGTTTTATTATACCCTCTCAATATGCTATAATAATTTTAATAGCAAGTTTTTTCAAATTGCAGGACATATCCAGTTGCAAATGGACCCGAGAGATTCGTGTAAATTCGTAAAATTAAAGTTTATAACTGTGTTTTTCCAGAGTCGTGCACCTATTTCGGCGAAATTAGTAGCAAACATGCTATCGGTAGCGGGGGCTGATCACATTATTACAATGGATTTGCATGCTAGTCAAATTCAAGGATTTTTCGACATTCCAGTTGACAATTTATTTGCTGAACCTGCTGTCCTGAAATGGATAAAAGAAAACATTGTTGAATGGCGAAACAGCATTATTGTTTCTCCAGATGCTGGTGGTGCTAAAAGGTATTGGATCATATTAAAAATTCACTTATAACAAATATATAAACAAATCTTATTCCAACAGGGTAACATCTATCGCTGATCGATTAAATGTTGAATTTGCGCTTATACACAAAGAAAGGAAGAAAGCAAATGAAGTTGCTAGTATGGTGTTAGTTGGAGATGTAAAAGATAGAGTTGCTATTTTGGTAGATGATATGGCTGATACTTGCGGTACTATTTGTCATGCAGCAGAAAAGCTGTTAGAGGCTGGAGCCACGAAAGTATATGCAATTTTAACACATGGAATCTTCAGTGGTCCAGCAATTAGCAGAATTAATAATGCTTGTTTTGAAGCTGTGGTAGTTACTAATACTATTCCTCAGGATGGTCACATGAAAGATTGTCCAAAGATACAGGTGAATAGTTTACAGTATTGTACGTATCGTTTTTGACGAGAAAGGATAATTTATCATTCTTTTATACGTTTTAGTGTATCGATGTATCAATGATGTTTGCTGAGGCTGTAAGACGAACTCACAATGGTGAATCCGTATCGTACCTGTTTTCAAATGTACCCTATTAGATAAACATTTTCCTAATAATGACCTCTGTCAAATCATGTAAGGAGAACGTAATCTTTTTACAACCCTTATTTTTAGTTTAGTTTAAAATATTTGCCTATGAAAGCAAACTTGGGATGAATACTAATGTCCCATTTTTTAAATTGAAAACTATACATACTCCCTTCTTTGATAGATGATGCGTGTAGAAAATGAGACGTTAGCTGGATAAAGCATACTGTATTGTCCATTTTAAAAAAGAAAAAAAAAATAAGTTAATTACTAATAGATCCAATCAATCAGCTTCAGAGTGAAATTCTTTGAAAGTAATTAAATTGTTGCTAGGCTACTACTTATTGTGCAGAATGCATTATTGCCTTGTTTAGAATATCGTTATTACATTGTTTAACTTAAATTGTGTGCAAGATGTTAGAGAAACATCTGTTGCTTCGATATAAAATGCTACTACAGTTATCCTGGCAGTTGTACATAACTGGGGATAAAAAGTATTGCAATTGAGGCATTAATGCGATTTAATCGCGCTATTAGAAGGATATCTCATTTTTTTTTTTTGCAGTCAAATATGAAAATTTCCAACAGACGTAAACATTTTTCAACTGGTAATACAAAGCGTCGAAAAAATTAGCTTTTTACTATGCTAATACGATACTGTTTATTACATTGTATAAAATGGAAAAATAATATCAAAGAGACATTATATTTTTTTCATGTTTTACTATTGCAATTTTGAAGAAAGGCCGCTATTTATATGAACATAACTATAATTGACCAAAACAATTATAGATCCTCATATAACGAAGGAACATGACCTCACCGTCATTTACTGATTTAGCTTTGGACCAATATAGCATGAAAATGTAAGTCAATACAAACACAGCATTCTTTACATGTAAATTTATCTTAATTCGATAAAAAATGCCACCTGTTAATACATTTGGTATTATAATAAACATCTCTCTGAATTATATAATTTAAATTTTTTATTATTATGATGAAAAACTTATATACACGATTAATTTACTATTGATAGCGTTAATTTAAATGCTATAATTACAATTTATTATCTAATAATTAATTGTTAAGAAATTGTTTCTTTAAAACTTTTATTGTATATGAAACGTAATTGAAACAAAACAAGTATAGTTACTTCAAGTATGAAGTTTACATACTTGTTTAATTTTAATTAATAACTACAACATATCGACCTATAGTCTATATGTTGCATCATAATACTCAGAAACTATTGTATTCTATTAAACTGTATGACTAACAACTAATGTTTATTGTAATTAAAAAAAAAAAGTATAAACAGGTCCGTTGTAAAAAAATTATCTAAATACTTCAAATTCCATGTTTCTTGACTGCGATGGAAATAGAATTTTGGTACAATAGAATTAAGACCTTATACACATTATTTAACATAATTCAAATGTGTATCTTAATCTACAATTTAATTTATAGTATTATGTGCAGCATTTGAATAAGACTAGAACTGTGTAACTATTATACGATATTATGAAGTACACGGTACACGGGATTCCTATAATTTGTTTAAACACACTTGTGAAATAATTTTTGAGATGATATGAACAGAAATTGTATTTAGGTACAAAAACTTTCTATTTACATGCTATTTTGTATAAATAATAATACTACAATGACTATAACATTTCTACATTTGTAAAACAGAAAAGAGATATGACAAAAATTTAATTTCGACGCTTTTCTAACACTTTATCGTAAATCGATATTATCTGAAAATCATTTTTTTTATCTTTGCATTATAATCTTCTCTCGTTTGAATAAACTTGTACCTATTATAAAACAGTATCTGATTTGTAGAAATTCATAAAAGTATACAAATAAATAACTTAAAATTGCCTGTATTTCAATATTATGTATATAAGAAGTATAGTTAGAAAACTTATCGCTATATTCCTTACGTTTTTTTATAATTTACAATGATCAGGTGGTAATGTTATATCAAAGACTACAGGTGGATTACTTGGCAAATAATTTAAATCACATGTCGATGCATTTATGTATATTATTTTCCCATCAGACGAGATACCATATCCTATAACAAAGGAAGTACAAGTTTTATTTTGAAAAATGAAACAAGTTGCAATAACATACCCTCGTGTATATGACCAAAAACATGATATTTTGGCTTCACTCGATTTTGAACAGTAGAAAGTAACTCTACACATCCAGCTCGTACACCACTGCAACACAGGTCTCCATGTCCTACAGGAGGTGTGTGTGTTATAAGGATATCTGTATCTGATGGTATCATCTCCCATTTTGAAAGGCATGCTTCTCCGCGAGGTACATTAAACGCCCATTTACAAAATTCTGGTTGCCTAAATTGTGAACAAAATTCTTTTCACCGAAGATCTTGCATTTGAAATAATATTTTACAAATATTTTCCACTGCAGTATATTGTTCATTATATATTATTCACCTATATTTTTGACTGTTATATGATAGTACTCAGTACAACATCATGCTAGATCATAAATTCACACATAAATATTTACCATGGTGTACCATATATCTTTATTCCATTTATTATAATTTCAGAATCCTCTAAATAGGTACAATTTGTCAAATAATCTTTAACATTAGTGGTCTGTATTGCTTCTGCAAGAGTATCTTTAGACATTCCCAATGTGGGTATATTGTCAAGAATGCTGGTCCCTGTGTGTTTTTGACGATCCCCACTGGTATGTAATGAAAAAGGATTAGTAAATGTAGGATCAAAGCTAAGTTCATGATTGCCGGCAATAACAATTTTGTTCTTATGTGGCAAAGTACCTGCAATAAAACAACTTGTAATGTATATTAATACAGAAAATATATAAGGTAATCATTTGGTCTGATATTACCAATCCAATTATTAAATTCTATAACTTCTTGTAAGCTACCGCATTTTGTAAAATCTCCAGCATGAATAAAGACATCTCCCATAGGTATATCAAATTTGATAAATGGAGTTAATGAATGAGTATCACTCATACAAACAATCCGAAGCTGTAACATGATATAATATAAAAAGTCTGTATATCAATATTACTGAATGAGTTTCCATGCTATTACTTTTAGGTTAGGGATAAATGAATGTTTAAGGATTATAAAATTACAAACAATTTAATGGATTTACCTTATCATTTGGTGCTTCGGTCGTTGGGAGTTTGGCATTTATTTTAATAACTTTTTGCTGTTGTGATAGTTCACGCCAAGCTGCTGTAGGATTAGCTGTTAATGGATGAATCTCTATGCTCATGCTGAAGAGATTGTGACACTTAGCTGTCAATTTTATTGTTGTTATAATAAAAACTTAACATTAGCAAGTATGACATGTAACTGCTTTACTATGTACATCAGATCAACTTTGTTTTATATCTTTCATTTAGAAATATTCATAACTTTATCGCCGAAAGCAAATCTGAAGTGGCTTATAGATTTATTTAATCAGATAGTTAAGTTTTGTTACGTGTACACGATATTGTTATATTTTGTTTAACGCAACAATCGTTACAATCATGATGATTAACTTAATCATGAATACAATTATTAATTTCCTTGAAAATGTTTAAATAATGAACATTCCAAATTTTCGCGCCGAGTCATGAACAAATTTGCTGGAATTTTGAATAATATTTTAAAGAATTCAATCCTAAACACAAACATTATTATGGAACACAAATTAACGCTAAATATTAAATAAACATAGATATTTAAAATATCTAATCTAAAATTAATAATTTATTCAGAAAATTGTTATTACTGCTTATTTTGTAAATTAGTATTTTTTATATATTGGGTATATTTGATATATTACTTTATTTTAAGTAATTAAATTTAATTGTTTGCATTTAATACGTATAAAATACAAATATGATTTGCGAAAATAAGTAGTACAATACTGTGGAAATGACCAATCAGCTGTTTATCTGCAAGTTTTTGTTTTTAATTATTCACGAATACTTTGCCTCATTTGCTATGTAAATAATAAATAAACATACTGTTGCTTTTTAAAACAGCTCAAAATAGTTTAAATAATCATTTAAACAGCAGGATAACGTTAATTGAACTTTGAACTGTTTTAATTTAATATAAGTGTACTTTGATCTTTATTAGCAATCGGTATTTGTTATTTGATTTTTGAAGATTGCAGATAAAGCAAGTGTTCCATATGAAGAGTTTGTGATTCATAAGTTAATTTAAAAATAATTGTAACGTTGTCACTTTCATATTAAGGAATATTTGTTTCAATATAATAAAAGCAAAAGGTGTCAAAATGTTTTCACGTTCGGTAAGTTAGTCATTAAATAAAGGATTTAGAGCAGTAATATTTTAAATATGTTTTACAAAAAAAGAATACTAATGTTATGATATATGTACCTTAGATATTGAAAAAGATAACACATCAGAAAGTAATGCGAGCATTTTCAACATCTGATCTTGCCACAGGGTATAACTTTGGTTAGTGCGAGGAATGTAATTTATAAGAATGTTTTATTTTATATAAGATCAAAATCATTTTCATGCGTTTATTTTAGAATTAAATGAAACACAAAAGGAAATGCAAGAATTGGCACGAAAATTTACAAAAGAAGAAATTATTCCAGTAGCAGCTGAACATGATAGAACTGGAAAATATCCATGGGATATTATTAAAAAAGCATGGGGTTTGGGACTTTTAAACAAACATATTCCTCAACACTGTGGTATAATTACAGATTTGTATAACTTGAATGTACAATGAAATTTGGAAGGTGTAAATCATAGACATACGATCTGTTGTTATTATTACAGGAGGAATGGAAGTTAGCACTTTCGATGGTTGTTTAGTTGCAGAGGAATTTGCTTATGGTTGTACAGGAATATCAACTGCATTGGAGGGATCAGGATTAGGTGTAAGTTATATCATGGAACATTCTTATATACATTAAATAAAAACACCAAATTAAAAATTACTTCAATATATTCTTTGTAGCAAGCACCAGTAATTGCAGCTGGAACAAAAGAACAACACAAGAAATATCTTGGAAGACTCCTTGAAGAACCACTTGTTGCTGTAAGATAAACAACGTTTTTAATATATATTTGATATACATTTTAATACATTTATAGTTGAAAAATTTTAGGCCTATTGCGTTACCGAACCTGCCGCTGGATCAGATGTAGCAGGTATTAAAACAAAAGCTGAAAAGAAAGGAAAGGAATGGATTCTTAATGGTACAAAAATGTGGATAACTAATGGAGGTGTTGCTAATTGGTATAAACAACTAGTTACTGTATTATTTATTACTGTTATTCATTATACAAAAAGTTAAATCGTGTACAGGTATTTCGTATTAGCAAGGTCAAATCCTGATCCAAAAGCGCCAGCTGGCAAAGCTTTTACAGCTTTTATTGTTGAACGGGAAAGCGAAGGTTTAACACCTGGTCGTAAAGTACATTTTCTCAATACTTTTATTATGTTTAAATAAACATCTCTTCACTTCTTAATGTAACGTAAATGTATTTTATTGTGAACAGGAAATAAATATGGGTCAAAGAGCTTCTGACACTCGAATGATAACATTCGAAGATGTTCGCGTTCCAGAAGAGAATGTTTTAGGCAAGGAAGGCGAAGGATTTAAAATCGCTATGAAGACTTTCGATAAAACGAGACCCATGGTATACGAAAGGAAACATACCACAAAACAAGACATAGGAAGGGTATTACAACTTTTTTATTTTTATAGGTTGCATCTGCGTCCGTTGGATTAGCTCAGAGAGCATTAGATGAAGCTACAAAATATTCATTAGAACGTAAAACTTTTGATAAAGTAATAGCTGAACATCAAGCTGTAGCGTTTATGCTCTCCGATATGTCGATTGCTGTTGAAACAGCTAGACTTGCATGGATGAAGTCAGCTTGGGCTGCTGATAATAACCTTCCATCAGCTACATTGCTTGCTAGTATTGCAAAATGTTACGGTGGTGATGTTGCTAATAAATGTGCAACAGATGCAGTACAAGTATATAGTCAATTATTGTACAGCATGTCTGTTGTTAAAAATTTGTATTAATTTTATGATTCAAATTGTTTTACAGATTTTCGGTGGCGCTGGATTCAATAGCGAATATCCGGTAGAAAAATTAATGCGAGATGCAAAAATTTATCAAATCTACGAAGGCACTGCCCAAATTCAAAGACTTATAATCTCACGTCATCTACTTAATCAAGCTAAACAAAGAGCTACATAAATGGTTGAGTGTGCAGTAGTGCATTATCGTCATTATGTACTGAGGTAGTTTTTTTATATGCAATTTCATATTTTTTTATGATATTTTATATTTATATTTAATCAATTTCAGTAACTATGTTACTACTCACAAATATTTGGCATATATAATATATATTCTAATACCTATATACATATATATTTTTATAACACTTTGTATGATTGTTATTAAACATTAAAATTTTACAAATTGTTATTTCCACGTTGCATTTTCACTGCATCATACATTTTTATTAAAATGTATAAAGATATTAGAAAAGGGTAAGTTAAGTACGGTACATCAGTGGTTCATATTTCGCGCCTTTTAATGTTAGATAGCGCTGCAAACGTTATCCGAAAGCGTTAGTCAAGTGTATTGTACAATGAAAAGAGATTACATCGCATTATGTCCGTCAGGTCATAGTTTTTACACGGTTATATTTGGTGAAGTCGTGCGTGACGAGTTATGCAACATTTGGTGTAAAAGCGCCCCATAATAGGACGACCAGATATTGTGACACCTGACCTACTTAGACAGTATCGTCGTATTTAAGACAGTGGTAAATTGACAGCATTTATAACACGAAAAACACATTTGACAGCCTTTCAATTTGCAGGTTCTAAATGCCTGCAAACACGAGAGAACAGGGAAATCTTTCGGAAATTGCGTCTTTCCGTGATACATTATTGGAACACAGTGCCGTGTCTAGTAAATCTTGGTACCTACATAAGACTACTCTCGATACGTTCCTTCTTTCAAACCACTTTTCCTTCCGTTATTGTTCAATGTCAGAAAATTAAAGTAAAACTTATGAGATTATATCAGTGTTTGAGATATTTGTATTGAACATACAAATATGTTTGGTTAGTCTTTTTCTAGATTGTATGGCATTTACGAGATGAGTATAGTCATATTTTCCCTTTCGTTACCCACTGACGTGCCTGTGAATGTAATATTGGGTGCAATACTTATTGTCAATAGTTTGTTGAAATTATTATAGAGACAGGAATTTAATATTGTATTTTATAGTAATCGATTAATTTTAGTTTCACGAGCTTTTTAGTATATATTTTCATTTATAACATTGCACCTGTCGTGTAAACAGTCTAACTTGTGCGATATCTTATAATCGTACATCGTGTTAAAATTAAGACACGAGCAATTTGAGTAAATTTGAAAGAATTAATGAAACGAATTAATTTTTCACAGATTATAAAGACACACGTCATCTACTACATTTTCAAAATTAATCGAAATATTGTTGAGTAACGCATCGATCATAGTAGAAAATGAAGATAAAAGACAAAATCAATTATAATTATCGCTGTAGAAGATTGAATTGTTAACTTTAAGAAGATGGTACGAACGAGTTCGTGATACATCGATCTATCGAAGCTGCAACGCTGGTTGAAATCGATGACGTAAACAAACTTTCGATCGAGTTGGAATTCGAGAAGAAGATTATCGCAATAACGTCGATAGATGCTACACCACGATGGCAGGAACGAGAAGGCGGGTATCAAAAAATGTGTTTTCGGTGCGCGGTACTGACAGAACGGCTAGGTCGCGGGCACTAACGCGGATCATACGACCCTGGAACTCGTGCTGTCAGAGCGCAACGGTGCGCCGGACGCTCGCTTGACTAAGGGAGTGCCCGTCCCGATGCAAAGTGTAAGTGAAGTGGCCTACAGACCTACATTTGTCTAACGTTCGATTTTTTTCGAGCCGGCGGACAGGAGGTTAATAATCCGCGCGGGGCTCATTTTTCCGCGGGCGTGTGTGATGTCGCTGTTGTGTGATATACCGATGTTTGGTTGAAAGAGACGGTGTAGTTTCGGTACGCTCAGACGGCGCTGGCCGGCGCGGGGAGCGTAGTAGTAAAAAGAGAGAAGGATAGCAAGAGCGTGCGCACACGAGGAGGAAGAGAGAAAAACAGAGAGGGAAAACAAGGAAAGAAGGAGATATAGAAGGAAAAAGACCGAACGCGCGGTTCTGTCGACTAGACAGAGAGAAAGGAAAGAAGACAGACAGATAGATAGACGGGGGTAAGAAAGAGAGCGAGGGCACGTAAGAGAGTGTAGGTGTTTCGAGAGAAGTGCGTGCGCTCGGGGACGACGTGCAGGAGGAGGGACCCCCGTCTGTCTGTCTGCTGGAATGCACGAGGGCCGAATGGCTACGGGGACAGGGGAAGGTGGGGGCCACACGGCCCTCGAGAACACCACCGCGACGGCCCTTACGGAATCAACGTCATCCTCCTCCTCCACGGTACCGACCATCCTGACTGAAAACAACACCGCGGCTAATCTGCCTTTGACCGGACCTCAACAGCAGCCGAACCTTCATCAGGTACAGCAGCAATCACACTCGCGACCACGGGTCAACTTGGTCACCGATCTGCCAACGAACGATGCCTCAGGTAACCTCAAACACTCGTTTCTATACTCTCGAGTTCTTTGTTGCCGTAGTACATATACCGCTCTTGCCAAACTCCCTTCTTTCTTCTGCTTTGCCCTCCTCTTTGCTTCACTCTCGTTCTTTGCCGTTTCTCTTTCTCGCTTTCGCTTTCAACTATCTCCCTCTCGGTCCGTGCGTGCAGTCCTTTCTTCCTTTCCTTTTCTCGCCAACGTTACACGCTGTCTATGTATCCCCTCTTTCTCTTTCGTTCGCTCCTTCTCTCTTTGTCTCATTTACTCGCTTACTCGTTTCACTCTTGCGCCTTCCGTCCACATCCGAAGTTACAGGTACTCGCCGATTTCATTCTTCCTCGTGGTTACAGCGAGCGGGCATTACACGATTTTTCATTATTTTCTACACTCTCTATCGATACTTGATTTTTCCGCCAGCAATAGCGGTATTAGAGAAACAGCTTGACTTTATCGCGACCGGTCGTTAATAAAACGCCTAGAAATAAATCTCATTCATCGATGCTCATTCTGAACGAGCCCTCGTACGCGTGCAGGCAATCTTTATCAACGCGTACAGTACGAAATCTTCAACTACACAACGTATAAATAGAACATCTAATTACAAGAATTTACACCGCGCAAGCGTTTCGAAGCGACCCGTAATAACGAAAGAACAGCGTACCATATGGAACTGAGAGGTTAGTCGAAAATTAACGACGACGACTCGCAGCCATAGTCGGCTTAAAAACATTATTCGCGACACGGAAAGAGTCGCGGGATAAAAGTCGAAATCGTTGTTTATATCGAAAGGTTCGCGCGATAACAGGCGCAGGGAAGAACGGAGGGAGATAATCATGATAGGACACGCGTTATTTCGCGCGCGACAAAATGAAACGCGGTGCCAAGGAATCGGCGGGGGTGCGCTGGGTATGCGATTCTTCGAGCGTTGGCCGTGTCGCGCGCCACGGTTCGCGCAACAGGCGTTTCGCCGCGAATTCCAAAGCGAAGATGCAAACCGACCCTCCCGCTGCCTCGGATTTAGAACAGACAACCTTCGAGCGTTTCTTTTATGAACGTTGCACCGACCCTTCGCGGACAAAATAGCGGTTCGATGAAACGAGACTCGCTCTCGCCTTTATTTACGTCCACTCTTCTCTCCCACCGTGTCGACTCCATCCCCACTACGTATCCGTTGTCTTTTTGCACGGTGCATCGCGAAACGATTGCCAGTCGAATTTTTCTCTTTTTTTTTTTACTCGTTCGAACGGACCGAGCTGAGAGAGCGCTCGTTAGACGAATCCGTGTCAAAGTGCTCCGGCTGGCAAGAATATCTAATTACTCGGTAAACAAGTAAGCACGAGTGGCTCGAGCTTGAAAACGATTCTTCTGGTATCGATGTTCGGTGGTCGCGTCTCGAGGCTGTGCGCGCCTCGGTTTAATTTCCTTAACCGTGACACCGCTATCGATTCGGCGCGAAGCTGGGTCAAAAAGGAACCACCGCGTACATACATATAGAAAACCAGTCCAATTTCCCGCTGTTCCCGATAAAGATGTCAAGTATGAATATTCATGGCTCTCGCCAGCATTAATGCAGATAATTAGCTGCATTGTGGCATTGCGCGATTACGCGGGCTTGTTTCTGCGAGCGTCAAGGGCAGTTTGCACTCTATTTTCTTCTTCGTTCTTTCTCTTCACTCCCAACCCCCTTAGCCGAGTATACGATTAGTGCCCCCATTTTCAATTGTTGTGTCAAGTCCATCGAAGCGTGGAAATTCGTCCGTGATACATACATCACCTGAAAAGAATCGAAACGCTTCGGGTCGAACCCGTTTCAACGAGAAGAAAATTTTGTCTAATCTTCGTTGCACCTTATACTCCCCCATCTTTCAATTTTCAAGAATGACACAATCAGCTGTAACTCGAGGCGAGATAGGCGTTACGCTTGCAAAATTAGCGGTAAACCAGATAACATAGGAAGCGACACGAAATTATCAGCCGGAAGTATCGTTCCGACTGGCTTGCCGCGTTTTGATAGCGTAACTTTGCGAGTTAGCAGACTCTTCGCCGCGATCGGTTTCGGGGCGGGCATTTATCAGATGAGATCGTCTCGGGGAACAGGTTGCGAGGTTAATTAAAAATGGGTCTATGTTACCGGTGAGAGAAGCGTTGGCAAACTCCTTACATCACGTCGCTTCTCGAGTCTTGAACGAGCGGTGAAAGCGTCGCGATGCAACTCTAGAAATGCGTTTGCACGATTTTAAAGGTCGGAAAGAGGCGTCGCGAACCTCGCCGTCTTCTTTCCACGCTCGCATTTCACGCGACACGCCGGCAGGTTCTCGTTACTTTTACTTTCATTCGAACGAGCGAAGCTTTGCGAAAATTTGTTAACGCCTTGCACTCGGACACTGCTTCCACCTTATTAAATTTCATAACAATTTTGCCCATTGTTATCTTTAAACTTACCTCGTTTGGTAATGACCACAGGTTGTCGAATATATTAGACGAAAATGGAATCGGGTGCGAAAGGTTAAACGCGTCGATTACAATAATCAACACCAGGTGTATTTAAAAGATAGGAAATTTTCAAAACTCCTGAAAAATACTCTTGGCTCTTCCTTTCTCATCCGGCAATAGAAGTATTTGTCGAGTCTTACTTTTGTCACGTAAACCTTAAGAGTAAGTAATTCTCTTCGCTTTTATAACGATCGTATTTCACCCGAGGGGATAAACGCGACGCGTTTCGAAAAAATATTGCGAGTCGAGCGCAATTTTCTTTTCCGCTTGTCCGGGGGTAGAGGGAAAATATATTAGCCCCGTAAAAGGTAACTGCGACTGTTAGGGGGGTGAGGATTGTCGGTGATTCTGCGAAAGGTAAGAGCCAAGCTTTCCCGAGTTTTCATAAGCGTGGCGGCGCGTGCCGCACACGAATTTCTCGCAATTCTTCGGGGTCTCAGGTTGTTCCGGGGATGTTACACCCTTCTTTGACAATAGACCGCGTCAACATCTACCTGCTGTGCCGAAATGCACTTGTTGCGTGTCGCAGTCGAACAGAGGGGAGTCCGGGCTCCGTAAATCACGATTATCCGCTCGATTGGGGGCCAAACGGATCCGTGCACCGAGACGAAAAGGTGCGGTACAGGTGCAACTAGACGCTCCCCCCCCTCGGTATCCATTTTCCTCTGGTACGCAGAGTAAATGTTGGCAAGCATAATAGAGAAAAAGCGTTAGCTAGATGCACTTTCATTTATAACTCTGGGCGGCTATTTTTAATTTTCTTATTTTAACAACGACGGAGCAAAGTGCACAGCCGGTGCTTGCAAATCAAGCGCAGGATGGTACCTGTGGACGAGAAGAATTTAAATATGATACCATTCCAAAAAAGTTACACAATATTCATGAATATTCTCAAGGCTTCGCCTCCGACACATCGTTTAACCTGCTTTATCTATTCTTTCAGCAGATTCTTTATGTTTCACATTGATATGTTTATGGTTATGATAATTTTTTTCAGACAATTTCATAAGCTAGACTCGATGCAAGGTACAAAAATTAGTGTGTCGGATGTGGGGTCGAAGGGGTTCAAATAATTGAAGGATCTCAATTTCAATTTCAAATGAAAGCTGTAACAATATATTCGTATACCAATTTAGGGTCTTTAACGAGTTCAAGTGTATTTCCGTTCGAGTTTCCTTTAGTTTTCTAGAAAAGCCTAGTCGAGGCTGATACAGTCTTCGATTTCTCAAGTACCTCGATCTCATTCAAAAGTCAAATTTCCAGTCGTTCGTTGCGTAAAGAGACATTCGTGTCTTCTCTAACTAAGCTTTCTTTTTCCACCGTATTTGCCCAATGACTTTGGAAGTGTCCGTTCAACAATGGTCACACGACCCTTTTCACTTTTCCCTCTCCCTCTCTCTCTCTTTGTCCAACAAATTCGAACCTGTTTGCATCGTTTCCGTGACGTCTCAGTCAAAATTTTCTTCAAGACGATTCGTGTTTATTACCGGTCCCAGCAAGGGTGCCATACCGGCGCGGCACACGAATCCTTATTGTGCAATCGTTGACACTGTTGTCCCAACTCTCACCGGGAGTGAACTGAACAATCCTACCGCTTTCTTACGGCAATTTATGACAGGTCTCGTTCTACCTGTTGCTAATGGAAAGCAGATAATTATCCTTCGAACTACCTGCGAAAATCCTGCGAGGATCTAGCGATCGCGCGAAAAAGCTGTCTAATAACGTTCCACGCCTCGTAATTGCAGTCAGATTTATGGTAATTAGTAGACGGGGTAACAAGCGTACGATACTGGAAAGAGTGAGTCATTGCGCTTTGCACTGTGTCAACGAAGGTGTAACAAAGCAACAACCGAGACCGTTTTTATTCCACGTCGAGATGATTTTTCCTGATATTCTCTTTTCGTTTGTTTGATGGACGAATTAGAGTTTCAGCTCGTAAAGTGTCTAATTCGAAGACAAACACGCGTTAAGAGCAAACGGAAGGTCTTGATTGCTTCTCGGAAGAGTATACTTTGAATGGATAGTAATTCTGATTGAATTTTATAAAGTTTCAAGACGGTATTAAGTTATTAGGAGATTAGATACGATTTCATGCTTAACGAAAAATAAGTATATTAATTTCTTGTGTACCGATTTTGTCGAAGCTATTTTTGTATATACCAAATTGATGCGGTACACTTGTGTGTGTATGTCGTTCACTGTGTACACATTGCTCTATTACTATACGTACACTCCCACGCGACGTTAAGACGATGGGTCGTTTCTCCTCCACGACGGTCGCTATTGAATCGCTTGACCCACTTTGATAAACTCGCATTGGAATAACTCAATAACACCAAGCCGAGCCAACAACAATAATTATTATTCAACGTTCCCAGCGGGCCTGGGCCACCGGTATAGATACCCTTTAGCCAATTTGATGTTACGAACTTTCATCCCCTTTAGCTCACCTTTCACCCCCTCTCCTCCCCTCTCTTCTCCTTCGTGGCATCGTAAT